GTCGGAAATTTGAGGATTTGGATGAACTCCTTGGATAGGCGAACCGAACTCAGAACCTGGGAAGGAACCAAGGCTATTAGGTGGCTGATCCCATTGATTAGACGAGGTTTTTTGGTGTCGGTGGGCATGATTGGTGCGAATTGGCTGAGAAGGAAAGCTAGAGTGATCCGTTGATCCAATATTGAGAGATGATATCACAGGAGTTTTCGGTGTCAGTGGACTTCTAGTGCTCGATTGCCTTCTTCCAGATCCCACTTGACTCAATCTTGGCCGTTGTTGCTTGGTAAAGTTGCTGTCTCCAGCTCCATTATGCAAATCCCCACCATTTAATGGCGAACCTGCATATGAAGCAGGGGACTGCAGCGACGAGCCAAAGTTGTGTTGGGTCTGCATATGCCTAAATTGCGCATGGTTGAAGTTGTGGACAAAGGGACTCTGGATAGGATCGCCATCTGGAGTATTCGAATAGCCATTCATGTTTGGGTCAACAGCCAGGCCATTTCCATTATTGCTTGCATAGATGTTGTGTCCGTTGTTGAAGTCGAATTCCATGCCAAAGTCTTGACCTCCGTTCTGCATACCGCCATGAGTGTTCAAGGTGTCTAGACTATCTAGCAATTCGTCATCGCCAAAAGTCGAGATGCCCTTTGAGAAGCTTGCGCTTGGGTTTGATGGCTGAGTTGTGAAGTTGTTCTGGAACGAGGTACCGTATCCACTGTTTGGAATGGCCATGGCATTACTGCCAACATTCAAGTCATTGGGATTGATGCTGCCTCCATGGGAACCGAATTGATTGAAGTGTGTCTGCGTAAGACCGAAGCTTTGTGGGTTCGACATGAATCTTTGGTTGTGGGAGGAGAAGAATTGATCATCCGGCTCGTCTTTGATAAACGGGCTTAATGCACCCGTGCCAGCCATTTTAGCTATTTTGACGCCTGACTATAAGGTCTTTGAGGAATTTATATGTCTTGTACGTGGTTGTTGGTTTGTATTTGTACCTCTTATGAACAAAAGGTGATCGTTATCTATGTGTGTGACAAACGGTAGCCACTGTCAAAGGTTCAAAAAAGCCAATTTCGAATGAGAAACAAGCATATCCCCAGATTTGCCACGGAATTGATACTATGCTTGTAATTACCCTACAAGATGACAAGATATTTGTTCGCATAACCAATGGTCATGCTTTATGACCACAATGCATAACATAGTATTCTGTTTGCCAAGTCGTCATAGGGGGGGAACATGCATAATGGAAAAGGATGCGCACTTACATGCGGCAGACGGTGTCGAGTTTTCGAAGATGTAAGCGGCAATGAAGCTGATGCTGACTCCTGAGTGAATAAATCCTATCGATCGTCTTGTAATCCTTTGAGCTTTGTTGTTGGATAAATAAGGGCCACGACGGTTATGTGGTCTTTGATTTGGCTGATAAGGTAGGTAGGGCGAAGTGATAGGTTTATTATCGCGAGGGGGCCTTGTCCGATAGATTGTTAGTATTCTATCTTTTTTCTTCCTTTGATGAGTCCTAGCAAGGTAAGAAAAGATGGGAGAAGAATGAGAGAAGGATAATTGAGTTGTCAACCCAAGAGGGGAAGGAAGGTTACCTTTTCTAGAGTGCGCTAGAAAAAGGCGGAGAAGTTATGATTGGGGAGAGGAATTTCCCAAAAATGTGTGCCAAAACAGCCGTTGTGTGGGATAACTCACGATATTTCGTTGAAAGGCGGTGGGGGGAGGGAGGGATAACCTTTTCTTTCTAGCTCTCGGTAGTGATGGCCGAGGGTTGCACGGGGTGATTTCTAATGACTGATTGATTTAATAAGTCGAAGAACATTTAATTTCTTTTGTTGAGAATGAAGATTCGAATGTTCTTGTGTGATGAGACCAAAAGTCGAGAGGAGAGAAGTTCCTGTAAGATGTCGATGGAGGAAGAGGGCGAGGAGGATTGTTTCTGTGAGAAGGCAGGAAATAATTAAAATATCCTTTATTGAATGAAATCTTTTTTTAGCGCAGCGCAACGCAACGCAGTGTGAGAGAAAAGAAGACTAAGATTGAATAATTGTTTTGAGTTTTTTCCCCTGAAATTTCCCTAAAGGTTCAAGTGTGAAGGTTAGAATTGAATCGTACTAGGTTGAGGTTGAGGTTGAGGCGTAAATTGATTGCGAAATTGGATGTGCAGTGGAGTGCAGAGAGAGGAGGGAGGGAGGGAGGGAGGGAGGGAGGGAGGGAGAGAGGGAGGTAACAAGACTTGAGGATTTGGATTTACCTAGGTATTCCGTCGTCTGTATTCCGTACCAAGTATTAATTCACTAGATTCGAATCCTTTCTTTTTCTTGACCGGATTCCTCTTCTTGGCCTCTTTTTCCCGTTTCTGAATGGATTTATTGGTTCGGATTCCTCGACAGTGAGTGAAATGAGATTTTCCTTCCTTTCTTTCCCTTGTTCTTTGGAAATCCGGGGTGGGATGGTCGGTCAATTCGGGACTTGGCGTAATGTAATGACGAATGAACCGCGTCTAGCGATGTCAAATCTGGAAATGGAAGAATTGTTCGGTGAATTTATTGATTGACGAAGGGAAAGATACTGTAGGTTGTCGGAGAGGTATCGGATAGTTATCGGATTGCGTTTTGATTCGATCTCCTTGATGTTTCGCAGGAATGTAGGTGGTGAGTGGTGAGTGATGAGTGGTGCGTGGTAAGTGGTACCTTGCTGTATGTATGTATGTATATGTGAATAATTGTAGGAGAGAGTGGGAATGAATTATGTGGTTTATATGTATATGTGTGTGTGTGTATATGTTGTCGATGTGACTACATGAGTCAAGCAAGTATTGATAGGTTTAGAGGAAGTTGATCGGGTCGGGTCCCAAGCTTCTTCTTTATAGATACCTGGTAGAAGCAATTGAGGGGCGATTTCGCTGGAATTAATGGCATAGAATTCCTAACTCGATGTGGAATAGATACCAGCCTTATTATTATCTGTCATATAGAATAGCAGAAATGAATAAATCGCAGAAGGGTAACTCGTCTTTCGATTATTCTGTCCTTCCTTAATAAGTACCAAGGCGATCAAATGCTCGCGTGTAATAATTTGACCGACCGAGAGGGAAAGATGGATGGACTTTCGAAAATGTAGGACAATCTTTCTCCCAATTAGTTTTCTGATTGGGTCAAGAAGAGCGAGGGCTTCTTTATTAATTCTTGTCAAACGTGGTACTGGATGTATATTTTTTGCTTTTGCCAATTCAACGAATGAAATAGCTGGGAAGCTAAGGAAAGAGAGAGGAGCAAGCAAGCAAGCAAGCAAGGGGAAGGAAATTGGGAGTCAAGTACCGTATTTTCCAAGAATATGGAGCTCTTTGCGAATCAAAATGGCAAAGAAGGAATGCAATTTATTATTCCGTCGCCAAAATGCTTCCAAGGAGCTTATTTTGAATGGCGGGGTAGATAGTTGATAAGGATTAGATAGATAGATACCCAGTCGATAAATAGATAGATAAATAAATAAATAAAGCAGATAAATGTCTCCTCCGCAAAATCCGATAATGTTGCAATCAAGGTTCGTAGTGGAAGAAAAGGGTCAAAGGATCTAGGTAGCAACGGAAGCCAAATCTTTATCGGCAAGAAAAGGCAATGTTCGTTTCCCTGTTTCCTTGCTTCCGTGAGAGAGTAGGAGTGAGATCCAGAAAATCCAACAAATCTGATATGTCGCCGACAAGACCGGCAAGACGTGTATTAGAATGGAGTTCAGCCTGTCCGGTGAAACGGGTGCAAGCTTCCACTTCTGAAAAACCTTGAGGAATTCGGCCGTTGATACAAGCAAATGAGATGAGATGGTACGACCGAAAGTCTTACACGATTGGGTAAGACGGGGTAAAATAGGTAGGTAGTCCAACCCAATATCGAAGAGAGGAGTGAAGTGAAGTAAGGTCGATCGTAAGTGTGTAGTATCGTATGTAGCTTGTAGTTTGTAGCTTGTAGTACCAAGACCTCGGCTGGAAAGGTAGCGAAGGATGGGTGATATCAAAGTTGAGTTTGAGGTTATTGATTGATCTTGTAGCTGTTTGTGCAAGTGTACACAAATGTTATGCAGCCAGTATAAAGGACTTCAGGCTGAATACCTAGGTCGTAAGTAGGTAGGTAGAAGAAGTAGACGGTGGCTCAAACTTCGGTAATTTGGTTGGAAGAAGTTGAGAGGTTCAGGAGGCGAGGATATCCTTTTATGTTCTTCACTCGTGCATACAACCTCAAGTCACTTGACTTTGCAGAAAGGTTTGAAAGTAGTCTCTACCAGGTTTTCCAAGATTTTATTAAAAGGTTGGGGAGGTTTCACTCAATCATCAGAAGTAAATGGTATCGAAGACTCATACTTTCCCATCCTCTCGAACCTAGCGAACCACCATCCACACCTTTTCATGCCTCTTCACACCCTCTCGCTTCTACATTTGCAGCTTTACAACCTTAATCAGATCTATTGATCCATGTCCGGTATTTGCTACCTTGCCCAAAAGGATTGCAATGGAGGGTTGAATGTCTCAAAGTTGAACCACACGCTAATACGCAAGCTCGATAAGGTATGTGAGGTAGGGAATCATGCAAGACTTGCGGGATTCCTATGGCCTTGAAGAGGAATAGGCTACGATGCATTGTACTGTATGTAGGTAGACATCTACTCTAAGACTGTGCCACAGTACTATTTTCGGATACAGATATTTCGTACTCCTCCTGCGCGTAAATGTATAATAGAAGACCTAGTACAGTTGCGTCTTTCCACTTAGTTCTACTTCCATGGATTCAGATTTCACCAGATCTGACGACACTATACGCTACTAGGTGAATAAAATACTGTGTGACCTGATTATCGTAGCTAAATCGTTCTTGTCACTCATTAACTGGACTGGCTGGTTCGTCAAGGGCGTCTGTGTACCGGTACATTTCCAAACCCCCTACCGACTAGCGGCATATTATGTGAGATATTTTAGCGTCGGAGCAACAACTTCCCATCATCATAAGCTTTCCCATGATTGCCTATCAACAATCCCACCTACACCCAAACCTGACTCTTCCACCACCATCAGCGATAAAAGGAACCCACCATAATAAATCCAAAATAAAATACAAGGGCTTGTCGCATACAACTTGAGCTCAAAGCTAAAAGAGCGCTTATTGCTCTTCATTCCGATCAATCCTTAGGAGCTATACCACCACACCCCATTCCTGCTGACTGCGACAAACTGTCCTCAGATCCCACCTTCATCAGACATCCATTATTCGATTTCATCATTAAGAGCCTCTAGAGTGGTCACGAGGAGATCTTTCATTGCATAGAGATATTCCATTCAACCAAAACCCTGTCCGTTGAATAGGTCATTGGACACCCCTTTTCAACATTTGCAAAGAAACCAGTCGCATTCTTTCCACGAGGTCGATTAACGCACGACATACCTGCAGACGAATCATACTGAGTAGGACATAAACGGCCGTATTTTCTTCAACAAAATACCCCGAATCGATTGCATCTCTTCGGTCCATCTCTAAACTAGGTTCTTGAACTCGGATCAATTACCTACCTTATCTTGAACATTCACGGCATCTGCGAAAGCAACGACGGGGGTGGGGAAACAATATCAGTACTACATATAGCCATAACTACCGAAAGATCATCGCGACCATGGCTTCCTCCTCTTTCAGAGATTCCATGAATTCCTTAGGCTGGTCGCGTCGCGACCCGGACCTACCCGTAAACACTGCTCAGCAGACCGGTGGCCTATTATCCTCGATAAAATCGCTGAATCCATTTGGAGATAGTGGCTATGTTCGACTGCCTACCACAGAGGGTGCGGGTGCGCCTCTGCCTGGTCGAAATCGCCGCGAAGAAGAAGAAGGATGGTTTGCCTGTAAGTCAACCTACCTAACTTTCTCACTTCCCCACACGTTGCACTGTCCCTGCATCCGCCGCCACCTGGTACGACGTACAGTGGCGTCGTTTACCAGTGTGGCTTGACTGTCTTTTTGTGTTACTTCTCAAAATTGCTTATTTGAAGACTGACTGACTATTGATTTTCTCATACTCAGTGAGTAGGTGGGATCGACTTTTATTATTTGCTGGGTTTAATATCGGCGCATTGGCCTGTTTTGTTATTTGTTTCGTCTTATTCCCGTACTTGATCGTTCTTCCAACCAAGTTTGCGATTTTGTAAGTCTCACTTTCCTTGCCATCTGAAACACATGTCCTGCAAGTTTCGACAAATACGAGTCGCAGTACCCCAAACCTTTAGCAATATCGCGTCCATGCAACTACGCGTCGGGCATTGCGTATGGAGCAAGTTTGTCGATCAGTCATGATACTACTCAAGCATCAATGAATGGTTTGAGACTTTGAAGGATTACGAAGTTAAGATATATACATCTACACCCTCAAAACTAACTTGGAGCGTGTGACATCTAGATGGACCCTAGGTTCAATGCTATTTCTCGCATCATGGGCCGCGATGATGGGCCCGTGGACGTACATGAACCACCTGATATCAGCGCCACGCCTTCCGTTTACCGCGACCTATTTCGGATCTATCGCGTTGACACTATATTTCAGTCTAGGCGTAAGTATTTACATTGATATCTCTTCCCACCATCTTCTCATAATCTAATCTTGTGTGCAGCTTCGAAGCAAACCGTTGACCTTGATCTCGGCGATTATCCAAATAATCTGCTTGACTTGGTATCTGGTCAGCTACTTCCCAATGGGCTCTAGTGGTCTTCGACTGGCGACGAACTTTGGAGTTAATAGAGCAGCTGCGTGGATGTCAGGTTAAAGCCGCGCAACCAAATCAGGCATTCCCTTGAAGCGGCAATTTTGTAGATCTAGCACATACCCATTTTCGTGCCATAGTAATTATTTTGACGTCTCTTTCTATGAGGTTTGTATCAGTGTATCAGTGTATCAATGTACGTATCAAATGATGTGGATATGTCGGGAGTTATCCATGAACGAAGAGAAGCTTTTGTAGCCTTTCACTTGTATGCAGCATCTCGTTTGAAGGACGTGACATGATAAGTTCTCTCGAGTTATGTAGTGGTACCGACCTTCTCTCTGCGTATATGCAGGAAGAGGAGTGGTTGCAGACGATGGTGACACAAGATCTTCCAAATGCTTGCAAGTGTATGCGAGTCGACCAAAAGGACATGTATCGCTGGCGCGGAGGTTACATTTAAGGGAAAGCGCTCGTCAAAGAGGGATCTCAGATGTCGTCATTTGCAGATTAGATAGTTGGCTTCACGAAAACGGGGAATGAGAGATATCGTGAAGAGAGTGTGGGGTTCGGTAACCCGGTGATTGGGATTTGCACTTTACGAATGAATATCTCGGAGCTTGCTCCTTCGTCTGAAGATTCTCTAGAATTGCGGTCTGGATTTTGGTAATGTGATGTTGCTTCATGATAGGTAGGTAACTAATGTGAGATCACTTTAAAGTTTGAACCTTAAAGCACGGATGGATATAAATATCATCATCGTGGAGACGTTACTTCATGATAAATGAGATGGCTTGACATCTTTGAATCAGAAAGAAATGAGATGGCTTTGGGACTCTGAATCATAAAGTACCAATGTAAATGTAGTCATCATAGGTCTATGTACTTTCGCTATCGTATATTTAAGAAGATGTTATCACCTCAAAGATCTACACACAACTTTTTTTTCACTACAGATCTACCAAGTACATTCACCGCTTGTATAGTGTGTAGCCTACATTTCTTTCCGTAGGGCTGCTGAACTCTTTCAATGAGACAATCAGATGCAAAGATAGATCATCATAATTCGACAGCATGAATTTTTCATATTGGTACAATGGGCCAGAATGAGGGGGGGGCGGGCGTGGGCATGATGATTGCCAGACACGATCAATGATACGGTGGCGATGACCAGGTGGATACGATACCATTATCTCGATAATGGAGGGGTAAATTTATTGGTGTGGATACACTGACTTACGCCCGCACACCTTTCCTCCATTTTTTGGATGCGATGTTTTTTTTTTTTTGGTAGGCGCGAGATCCAGCTTGATTGATTACAACATGGTCATTTCGATACCGAATTCCAGGTCCAGAAACTCCGGTGCTATATGTAAGTAAGTATGTATGGAGCAAGTACGTATGTAAGACTTGCTCTGGTTTCAGATTTCTCGGGGAAGGGATGTACGGCATGTGTGTGGTTTTTTTGTGGGGGAATGAAGAATGAAAGGTGGTAAGTGGAAGTTCATGAATGTGAGGTTAGAAGAGAAATGGGAAGGTTTAGAGAGTCGCCAAACCTCTCCAATGACAAGGCGGGAAACCAGATCCACTCTTGTATGCAGGTAAGAGAAAGAGGAAATCACCTAGGTTGACATTGACAAAATTGAATGAAGATTTTCAACCCCTCATTACATTGTGGCTGGACTTGAAAATGGGGATGAGGGTAGGGAAAAGAAGGGAAGGAAGTATTTACCTGGTTATCTTCGGCTACTTATCAAAGTTGTTGTTATAATAAAGTTGTTACAAAGGGATGGCATCAGATGTTTATTGATGAACCGCAATAGCAATGGCAATAATGACAATAATGACAGTACATGAGCAGCAGCGTCATTTCATTCAATAAATAGTATGACTTTTTTCATTCAAGTAGGTAAATATATGGTGATAGTGTGATACTCGAGTACAACTATCTCACGTTTGTCGAAAAGAGTGAAGATGTAAAAGCATTGTTCGCACGCTCATTTAAACGACCTCGGGAATCCAGGTACTTCGACCATGGCAATGAAACACGATAACATCGATGCGAGTGTTTTATGTGTTAACACTCGTAGTAATCATAATGAACTTATGTCATGTTGGAATGGCCATTTTGTATTGATGACTGCAGGTGGCCATCATATTGAGTGCAGATACTTATTAATACTGGGTTTATAGCCCTGATGACTGAAGTGCCCAGGTAGGCTCTACGGTGGGCATATCGTTGATTAGATAGGAAGGAGGAGGGGAAAGATGGACGAAGGTAATGTAATGTTTGAAGTCTGCAAGGCTTTTCCCTCTGACTACCAGTGACCAGTGACCAGTGACTGGCTGTTTGTCACCAGTTGAATTGAATCTGATGGGCTCACAGAGGGAACAATGTATCGCGAGTAACATTAAATGATTGATCCACTACCGGTTCCTACCAGGCCAGGTAGCTTGAGCCTACCTAGGTACAATGCATAACCGGGTATATATATATACAGGTAATGTGGTAATGTACCTAGGTGATGTAATGGAATGGAATGATATGTATGATATGTATGATATGATACCTATGATATGATTGATGATTAATCCATATTTCACGCAGAGACCGAGGTTTGCATGTATACATTGTGTATATATCGTACATATATATATATATACATACATACATACATACATACACACACATATATATAATATGCCTTGAGGCAATACCTAGATCTGGTAGATGTGTACTAGGTAGTTATTTCTGGATGAATGGACTGCTGTCTGTTATCCAAATATCTATATAGGCGGTAATCTATATACTCGAATACATTTACATATATACACTCACACACATACATTCACATACATACACTCGCATACAGAATCCGAATTATCTACAGTACTAATAATGCCATCTCAATTCGAGGGAACAACATAATCATATTAGATCGTATGTACTCGTATAATAAATAATATAATTGAATATCTTTGGCTGTGACTTTTTCTCTCCAATTCCAAAATCACACCAACGGAACTTTCACCCCAAAACCTTCCGTGAAGCGGTTCACTTCAGCCTTCATCATAGAAATTTATCATCATTTAACACTTTGAACACTTAAATTTCTCAGCCGAGAAAATTAAAATCCACTAAATACTGAATCGAACAAAAAATTATTCCCTTCCATTCAACCCTAAAGAATCTGCCTTCACAATTTTAATCTCCATTTTTTTTTCTTCCTTCAACCTCTTCTTCCCTTTCGACCCATTTGGTACCTCTTCTCATAAAAGTGGTGTAGAGAACAAAAGGTCTTTTCTCATTCGAATACTTACTTTTCTATTCCAAAAAGAAAAAAAATCTTTACTCTGAGTTTAGAACGACAACCTCAAAATAAGATTTCATAGGCAAAGAAGACAGTAAACTGACTGTAATAAAATTGTCAAACTCTGGGGATCTTACAACACTGCTGGCTTATTTTCTCCGAATTTGAATAGTAAAAGACTGATCTTACAGGATTGATCTTCTGCTACTTCTATTCTCTTCGAAAGGTGCGTGGGGGAATTTCGATGTTCTATTTATGACATTTACTTTTGTGCGGCTTTACTTCTGCGCCATTGCAGATCAGACTACTCGAAGAAGCTGCGTCCCATGTCATATTGATTCGCAGAATTGGTCATATCATGTTGGAATCATACAGCTAACATTCTACAATAGATCATAGTTTCCATTCAGTTGTTCGAGCTTACTTTCGCGTTGCCGCCAGCACCACCTGTGCCATCAAACAAATCTTCCGTTTCGTTCCACGAGTTACTGCCCACAGTTCATAAAACGTCGAAACTTGTCAAAGGATCGGTCCTTGATTCCTTTCTTGCATCTTCAAGTAATTTCTTGGACTTCGATACTTTGCGAAACTTGCGCGACGAAATAAGTCTTCACAATCACGCAGATACCCCTCATCCACTACAAACAAGGTTTCAGCAGCGATCACCAATCCTCATTTTCGCGGTCTGCACTGAGTCGCTTCGATATTTCTCGAGACGTGATATCTGATCAGCGCATCGGGATAGAAGTGCGGAGAGGTCGAGTCAACCTCTCCGGACGTCCATACTGAGGTTGAAACTTTAGTCACCTCTGTGTATCTACTTCAAGTATTACAGGTACCCATTCGCAAGAATTGGACTTGCTTGATTGAACGAAAGAGTCATACTTTTTGTGATACAATTCATAATGTCATCGGCAACATCGAAATCCGAGGGCACCCCTACCCCGCCTACATTTTCATATGCGATGGCCGCAAAAGGTCGCGTAACTTCAACTGCAAATTCCGCCATGCAATCAAGCCAGGCATCAGCTTCTGGTGTCAGCACACCTGCTAAGGAATCGAATTCCGTATCAAATACACCTTCAGCATCGGTGAATGGGGCAGCAGCATCTGAAAACGGAGATCGAAATACCAATGGTTCCACCGAAGTTCCAAGTAAGAGCGATCCGCTAGGAGTTGGATTAAGCACAGATGCGAACCCAACATCACAAGTAAGCGCAGGTTCCATTCCAGAATCGCCAAGTGTGGTTGCTACTTCGAATGCAACAATACCAAAGGAGGAGGAGCTCGCTTTGAACGTAGCTGCGGATGATTCTGAGCAAGGATGGGAGAAAGCTGGGCGAAATAGAGAAGAAAAGCCTTCCCCGGAGGCGATCGAGGGCAGAAAGTCTAAAAAGTCCAAGAAGCAAAAGAAGGACGACAAGGAGGCAGAAAAGGAGAAAGAGAAAGAGAAAGAAAAGGAAGAAGTAAAGGTGCCAGAGGTTCCTCTGGTACCAGCTCCGCCTCCGGCTGTAAATTTCTGGGAGCAGCGCAAGGAGGCACAAGCCGCAAAGACAAAGTCGAGCCCATCAATACCTCAAATAGCAAACTCCTTTGGCGAAACCTCAAGTTCCACTCCAACTCCAAAAGGTATCGAATCTAGACGAAAGGGAAAGGCTTCTGTTGAAGATGAAAAGGCATCGCAGACTGGCAAAGATTCTGTCTCAAAGCAGGGCCAAAAGAAAGGTACAGATAGTCTGACTAAGGGAAAGGAGGATTCAACCAAACGACCTGCAAGAGGCAGTAGGAGCTCTGAAGATAAAGACAGGAGTGCTACCAGTTCATTGCCCCCTCCAGTCGAGGACTCTTTGGCATGGCCAACACCGGAAACTGCATTAGAAGAGGAGAAGCGAAAGCTTCAAGAGGAAGACAAAGTAAAGAAGGATGAAAAGGATGAGAATCCCTCCAACAAACCAAGGACGAAGGAGAAGTGGGTCCCAGTACCATATACTCCATCAGTCACATTCAATACCCCGCTACCTGTTCGAGGTGGTCGAGGACGAGGTGGTGCTCGTGTAGGTCGTGAGGGTGGACGTACCAGTCATGTGCCAAATGGTACCGCTGGAGAGAAGTCGCCAGGAAGTGTCACTAAGCCTGCCGAGTCTGGTGAAGAAGCCGAAAAACGTGGGGTCAGATCATCATCACTTCCACCAAACTCTTCCAAGAGACTTTCAAATGAAGATGAAGTCAGTCGTGATGCACGCAAGCATACACCAAATGCAGAGAAATCAAAGGGGGGTGCCAACAAGAATGAACCTGTATCACCAACTGACACTGGGCGAAGTTCAACTTCTCCGCAAACCGATAAGGATAATCAAACCAGCCAGAAAGGACAAGGTGTTGGCGAAGGACAATTCCCAGCAAGATCTGGCTTTGGTGACCGCAGAAACGATGGCTCCGGAAGCTCTGAATTCAAAAATGGAAGCAAGGATCAGAGAGCTGAGGGTCGAGCAGAAAGAGGCCGTGGAGGTTATCGTGGCAGAGGCGCTCACAATACTTTCGCCAATGGCCATGCTTTTGCCAGTGGCCATAACACGATTCCTCCTTACCAAGGGCGTCAAAACTCAACACCATACAGTCCCCCACCTCAAGGACCCTTCAGCCACCAATACGCACAAGCTTCTTCCCGTGGCCGTGGTAGCTCGAGATCACAATCTATTCCAAATGTTGCCATGTATCCAAGAGGTGGCTATACGAATGGTAATCAACAGATTCCCGCTCTTCAAACCATGTACGACTATGTACCAATGCAGGTCATGAGCGCTGTGCCATACGGTCCTTTTGACGGCCAGTCTGCTACTGTTTTGTCAATGGTGAAGATGCAATTGGAATATTATTTCTCGATAGACAATCTTTGCAAAGATGTCTTCTTACGGAAACACATGGACTCTCAAGGATTTGTGTTCCTACACTTTGTGGCCGGGTTCAAGAGAATCCAGTCTCTTACATCAGATATTGACATGTTGAGATACGCTTGTCAACAGTCTACCGAGATAGAGATAGTCAAGGGCGAGGATGGTGTGGATAGAATTAGAAGACGCGATGGCTGGGATCAGTGGGTCATGCCATCTGAGGAAAGAGAAGAGTCAATGAAGCACAATGATGGGCCAACTACACTTATTCGCGACAACCATGGGCCACCAAGCCATATGGGCCAAATGATGATGCCAGGTCAAGAGATAGGCTCACCAGCCTTCAGCCCCGGTGGAAATGACTTCATGCGATATGGAAACGAAGCCACCCAAGCGCCTTTGGCCAATGGCAACAATACCCACTATCACGAAGAAACACCACTTTCAGCTGCCGTCCCTAACTTTACTCCTGGCCTGTTACCTTTAAACGGAAACACCGTTCCTTCGCCCGATCCTTTAGCACCAGAAACCACGTTCACCGATGAACAGATCGAGGATCTAAATTTAGTGTTTGCACAATCTTCCCGTAAGACGAGCGATCAAAAACCCGCCAGACACCCATACCACAACTCGTCCTCAAGAACTTTCTCCAATGGGTCAATTGATGGTAGGTCCATCAATGAGGAGTTGTCCGAAGAGCGCCAAGGTCGACCCTTGGTCAATGGGTCAAATCCACAAGAAAGGTAAATAATTATATGCCACCCTGATTTCCACGTTGATTTGCCATTCTGACTCGTGTCATTTTAGCTCCTTAGAAGGCAACTTGAGGGCAATGTCTCCCCATTCAAACTACAGCAATGCCCCAACAGTCATGTGGGTCAAGGATCAAAGACGACAAGCAGCCATCTCCGAATCCAACACCATTGAAAAGTATGCCGTCTTCCGTGAGAGAGCAACCAGACTCCGAGAAGCCAGTCAGCCTGGTGAGACTCATACTGACATGGAGCTTCTTTACAAGTTCTGGGCCCACTTTTTGTGCAGAAATTTCAATCCAGGCATGTACTACGAGTTCCGCAAATTGGCGCTTGAGGATAGCCATAACAATGCTTCTACCGGAATGGAGCAATTGATTCTTTATTACGATGAAACCCTCAACAACAAAAAGAAAACTATCAACGAGGTCTTAGCCGGACATTATGTTGATGTTGTCAAGGGTGACGATTCTCCAATCCAGCGATCCGCATTTGCGAAACTTCGAACTTCTTTACGCAACGGTGCTCTCGATTTGAAGAGCCGAAAGAGGATCGACAATCTGCTAGATGCCAAGTTGAAAGAACTACTTGAGCAATAAATTCCCTTCCTAATCTTCTCGATTTCTGTCTCGATACCCTCGTAGCTTGGAGTCATGCTTGGCCACCGACCTTGAAGTTACGTACGTGGTTTAACATCTATGTTCTACCTATATCACTTTTACCAATTAGCCCCATATCTTCTGAATCGCTTTAACGTGGCACGACTGTTCATCGCTCCAATTCTGCAACGTTGGCTTTCGCTCGTATGACATGTAGCGATACAGATATTATGATCTGAACAACTTACGTTGACTGTATTTACGAGTTTTGACATGTGGTTTCTACGGCGTTTAATAGGAGCTATCAGAGGATTGGAGATCTCTGGGCATCAACTACAACTTGAGCTAAGAAGCTTCAACCTTTTTTTTCTCGGCAGAGTATTGGGTGGGTATGACGAATGATATGGCTTTCTCCTTCATTCATGTTTTGCTTTTTACATGTTCATATTCTGGCATAGCCACGGCATACTTTTTAGTTTCACCACCACCAAAAGTCTTCGACAGACACGTTGTCAGTCGGGCGTATTGCTTTTTACGAGAAAAATTTGGGTTTTATGCACGCGATTAATGGTTACAGAAAATGGCTTTTACACTTTTGGCATGTGCAATTGGCAAATACAAATTACATGTTGCATCCTCTTCTTTTGAATGATAGGAGTGAGGCAACCAACCAATTGTTCGTTACATAAGATAGAAAACACAAAATTTGCTGCTACTTTGTACCATAGAAAATTTGATAGCAGCTCTATCTTATATTTGATTGCAGTGTTGACATATGCTGTGTCATGTGATTTTGATGAACCAAGGGTTTAATAATGTCAGGCTTATAAGTTCCTTGTGATATGATATGATATGATATGTTGAACACGCAAAATGGCAGCAGCAATGGTGCACTGAGGTTGGTGAGTTGGTTGGTTGTTAATGTGCCTTCCATGTTTGTCAAATCTTGAAGGGAAACTTTTAATGAACTTTGTTTGATCTCAGTGTAATACATTAACCATCCATCTCCCCCGTCAAGAACCTCACAAGAATAAATCAGTTTTTACAAGTTGTCCCTTAGTACGCCAGTTAAGTTCATGTATTGAAGACCATCACATTGGATGCTCACTACCTTTTCAACAATCTCCAACAATCTCGAGTCTTCCTTTTTGAACCACCTTAACATCTCTTCCCACATGTTCTCACCAATTCAATTTCATAATACACAGGATTTATACTACTGATCTGATTCCAAAAAAAGAAGAAGAAGACAGAATCCGGATAAAGCTATTCATCTTCCAGGAGTGTCCTCCCCCCTCGAACTTTCACTTTCTTTTTGTTTACTTGGTCAATGAAAGACAAAATAAGAGAACAAATCTTTGCCATTGAAACAAGAGCGCCTTGAGGTTCACCTTATTCTCTTGTATGATCCAAATTTCAATTTTCACTCTCCTTTTATTTCCAAACATTAACGTCCTTTCAAATATTTGTCTCACCAGCGACAACTACGCCAATTGTTGATATCTATCAACAGTTTCCTTTCAATCATGGATCCCTCAACCAACAATGGCTTTCTCCTTTCTGGTGAGCTTGATATCTTCAAGAACAAACTAGCTACTTTGAAGGACAATGGTAAGAATCTGAACATCGAGGATCTCGCAAAAGAACTGTTCGGTCTCACCTTGGAAGACGCATCGAATGATTTGGGCATTCGTGATGGTCCCAATGGAGAACGTCCCACAAAGGCATCGCAGCTGTTGAAAGTTTATTTGATTCTGTCGGATGAGGAGTGCAAGAGAGTTGTGGAGCTCCGCAGCAGGGTAAGATATTTTTCGTTGACTCTTTAAGATTCATTGCTTCAGTGCTATCTTGTGCCGTATTAATTACAAACACGCGTTGACTTACAGACCATTGAATTGAGCCTCTCTACTATTATTCTTCATCTCGTTGATTCAAGTTCATGTGCGGCCACTGATTAGCGTGTATAGGGATGGCATGACAAGAAAGAAGACGGCGATGCGCACTTCAAACAACAACGAGAGCGCGCCGACTCAACCACACCAGAGGGTGAACGTGGCTTTTACAAGATGATGCAACAAATCGGAGAAGAAATGCACAACGCTCACAGTATCTTCAACATACCTTTCGTCCCAGATGGCCAGGTCAACGTACTCGATCTCTGCATGGCACCTGGAGGTCACACTGCAGCAGCTCTCGATTACCGCAATAGCTTCAAAGCATATGCCATCACATTGAACCCTGCTTCTGGCGGGCACAATGTTATGATCGACACGAGCCGCCTCCAGGGTCTTAGATACTGTGATATTACAATGTTCACGGAGTTTTGTCCAAACGGTAAAGACATCCCGAGGATTTAAAGTCAAAATTTAGTGACATCAAGCCCTACACGTTTATCAAATATCATCTTGTGTTTGCCGATGGCAAGACTCTTCGTACGCATGATCGCATTAAGGACACCTACAAGGCCAACCTTAGTAAGGAAACAGTACGATTACAAACTTCGCAACTGATTCTTGCCATGAATAGGATGCACAATGGAGGTACTTTGGTTATGTTATTACATAAGATTGACACATGGCACTCAGCATTCATGTTGTATACATTTTCGAAATTTGCTAAGGTTGAAGTATTCAAGCCTGTTAAGAAGCATGCTACAAGAAGTAGTTTCTACATGATTGCGAAAGATATTAAAATCAATCATCCAGAGACAATCAAGGCCATTGAGGAATGGAAGGAAGACTGGGTGAGTCCATCAATTTTTTAGCTATCATACTATATTATCTTGCCCATGAATTCGCGAGATGACTCTTTGTGGAATTTTATTATATCAACACGACTAACAAATTACCTACAGTTTTATGCCACATTTGGAGGTCCAGATAACATGGGTTTAGCCAAGGAGGAGCCAACAAATGAAATAGTTCAAGAACTACTGACTGAATTCGGACCAACGCTGATCGAATTGGGACACAAGGCTTGGATGATCTAGGCGAATGCATTGAGTCACACTAGTTACGCAGGCTCAACGACTGATGGTAAGCTTGAGAGAGTTTCTGGTGAAATTAATGAGATAAATGAGAAGCTTAACTTGGAAGTGAAGGTCGAGGAGATTGCCGTGGGCTTGGAGAATTTGATGGATAGTGAAAACGCAGCGAGGCTTGGGAGATTGGTTGAATGATATTAGTCGGTTTTAGCATTGCTTTCATGTTACTTTGTTTGCTATCCCGGGAGTATTTACTAAGATCACTCTGCGTTGCCTTTAGGAGTCAAACAAGGGTTAAGAAAGCGGATTTGGTGTGGAATAAAGGGCGTTTTTAGGGATCATCATGAGGGCTTCAAAATGGAACGTGGAATGGGATATTCTCCAACTGGTGGCAGAGGAGCTGGCTGCTGGTCAGTGGCCAACGATGGTCAAGTTATTCCTGGTGAGAAAGCAAAAATCGATGATGAGGCTACCGCTCGTTGCGACACCAGTACTAATGGGGACAATCGAGCCATTTTCATGATGGGAACTTAGTGTGTTGCCATACTTGTGACCGATTGACTTGTTCTGGGGTGGTTGAATCTGATTTGTGTGTCAGGATGACTGGAATCATAATAGGACGGGCGAATAGTTGGTAATAATCTGTTCAACTGACATGAATATCAGTCTTGCATGTATATTCGAGCAATACTGTCAACTAATGTGAGATTATGGGATGGTGATCGCTATGCCACGTTGATTTGCAAATTAGTAAGCCTAATTCAGTTGTATGTTGTAACTGCACTTGTATCTATCAATTGCAGTGAGGCAGTCATTCCCCAAAATCTCCAGATATCTGGAAACTATACTTGGATCCCTGATACCATGAAAGTTTATCACCTCTCTGATCCCATAGGAACGCTATCTCTGAGTACTGCTGTCTCTACAGGATTGATGAGCATTCAAGAAGTCCATTCTCTGCCAGTTATGCTTGATCTGGAAAAGACGAAATACCTTTGAGTGCATTCGAAGAGACTTGTTCATTTCAGGTGTTACACAAATTATTCTACAGCATTGAGAATGGCTCCCAACCTGGGCTGATTATTATTCAGTGATACTCCGATTCTTGATTATGGATGCTCTACCACAAACACAACCTTGACCGGGAAGTTTGCACTTGTTCAGCGAGGTGCACGCACTTTTAATACCGAAGTTAAGCATCTTGATGCAGGTGTATTATCTTATGTTGTGTTTTGTTACGAATATTCTGGTTTCTGCAATAAGATTTCGTTTGGTGTAATCATTGACTGTCACTCCATTAGATTGGAGTTATGGAAGTGCGACACTGTACCCTTATTTAACTTTGGTTGACCAATAAGGTGGCGAGTTTTCAGAGATCTATGGACTTCGCTCTAATGCATATGTGTGATGAAATTGCTGGGGAGATATGTAGTAGAAGAAGTAAATGTCTACCCTATGAATCATGCAAATCTTATCCTGAGCGAACATAACCCCTCTCAACGACACTACGAAATTTGCGAAAAAGTATACTTTCACAGTCACGAACAATGGCAGTGAGGTTGAGATATTTTGATCAAGTGACGATCCCACTATCAACATCTATGTCTCCACCACCGACAAAACAATCGCTTTGGCTATCTTCCCTTTGTAAATTGACAACCGTGAAGTCCTCCCGCGCGATCCTCACATCTTCATTCTTCTCTCTCCTCAAAAGAACAGACGGAGACCCCTCTCTATTACCCTATCATCTAGTCTCCTTATCGTCCAAGTCTCTAGGTATCTATAGTAAATTCGCGAAAATAACTTCTTCCACCAGCTCAAACGAAATGGAATTTATCAAGTTCCTCAGGAGGCCGGGATAGCACCTTTTTTTCTCCCTCCTCTCTCTATAATGTCGTTCTGGGCTTCGTATCCCCCAAATTCCTGTGCTTGTACAACCATCAATTCGGGAAATGTAATACCGATTGATATGTCTATGAAATTTATGGACAACAGGGCTGAGAAAGAGAGGTGGGTATTTGAGGCTGGGAAATGAGAAGTATTCAGTGCACGGAATTTCCAGATGAGGCGAGAACAGGAAAGAATAATTTGTTGGAGAGAGGCAATGATTTTTATTAATTGATAGTGAAAGGAATGTTGGTTTGAGCTGTTCTCTCAAATATTGAGAACAATCGTACACTCGTACAAATCGGATGTCCCGTTCTTGGCAGAATGTGTATGTTAAGCGAAGCGAAAAGGATCAAAAGTCCTTATTCAAGCTGACGATAAGAATTTCTCAGAGGCATATATCACTTGGAAATGATACAGATTATTCAAGATTGTCTGATTGAATGTTCCTTTGCCCAACCCCAATGCTATTGAACAGCTATCCTATTTTATGAACAAATACAGAGAGGGTAAAAATCACTCGATCGATATTCTCGAGAGTGCATTTTCCTTGAACGCCGCCGTTCAACCCTATTTTCCTCCCATAATGAATTACCCAATCCATCCCCATTGAACGCCATCATCAATTCATAAATTCGTTCAACCTTGTCCCGTTCGCCTATCCATAATTTTAACCGACAAATCCCTTCTAGCATCTACACTCCAGGTTGGAATAATGTCACTAATCCCATCGCAGCCGCTGCTGCTACACCCCCAATGAGAACCATTTCAGCAGCACCCCAGAAATTGCCTCCTATACATTTCGCTTGGAAACCTGTTATCATGCCCGTCTTGACATATCCAAAGATGAATAGTGTTATCACCATAACCCCGACAGAGATATATAATCCCTCGGCAACCGTGGATACCAAAAAGTAAGGCAGTAAAGGTAGTAAACCACCGAGGAAGTATCCCATCGAGATCGTAAGAGCAGATGTAAAAGCGCGGGATGTAGCAGGTTCTTCTTCACAATATTGGAACTGCATTATGTAGTCGGTGAGAAGCTCTGGGTGCATTTGAGCAAGATGAGTTGATTGGCCGGTGATAACTTCTTTGGGAAAGTCGTAAGGTTCATACTCTTCCATGAGATCGTTTAAGACGCCTTGAAGATCGGTTTCTATTCGTTCGAGGGTCTTTTCTCGTGTAGCATGATATGATGCACTAATGTAAATATTAGTCAATCTGATCTCAAATTTGATGACACTCCGTTGGCCCTCCGTGCCGTGGAGGCAGACTCATTGATGATGACAACTTCATTCCTTCACTGGATGCAATTGTGGGGTAAACTCACAGTTCACTCTTAGCAGCAAGATATCCACCCAAGCCCATAGAAATGGCCCCTGCAATCAACTCGGCCATTCCTCCCCCTATAACGATTTTCGAATCGTTAAAAGCCGACAATCCAGCCGTCAATGCAAATGGGACTGTCAACCCATCACTTAAACCAATGGTTGCATCCGAAATAACTCTCGCATCGATTCTCCATCCCTTCTTCTTTGAGGACTTCTCTGATCTGGAATCTTGAGATTCTAAATCTAAAGTACTTTCATCATCATCGTGAGTCCCGTCGACCGACCCGGAGTTGGAGTTCGTGTTGCTATTTGGTAAGAGAGGTTGTCTAGATGTAACGAAATCGATCTTTGGTACTCCTCGTTCTCGACTTGATTTGGGCGATTTGGGAGTGACGGATTGATAGAAAAAGATATTTTTAAGGACAGCTAAAACCATGATTTCGGTTGGGGGTGGTGTGTGGCTTTAAGTTGTGTTGGGTTTCTTCTGAGGAGACGTTGTACTTGACTTGTGATGTCATTCAACGAAGATATGTAGTAATTACCTAGTACTATCTCCTACAATTGTACATTCAAGGGAAACGAGGTTGATGGTTCTGATATCAAAATGGAATCGAATTGAGGTTGTTCTGATTCTTGATCTCCAACTGTTTGAGAGGTTTGTACCTTTGGTTGTTGGTATGTATGATTGGACTGATTTTCTGGTTAAGTTTTGGCTCAAGAATTAGAAGTGAAATGAGAGGAACTTCTTGGATCTTTATATGTGTTGGATGGATGGATGGTATGGTGGTAGTTATATTCTAGATGTCATTCCCTACCTCTTCGGAAGCTACCAGGTATTTAGGACAACATCTCCATTTACATTCAAGGATTATCTCAGTTGGTTTGATAATTAACCACGGGCTTGATTCAAAGGTTTCTAAGCTTGTTTGAATATTTTAGGATCTTGCTGACCATTAATTACCTTGATTCTGATTCGTCCAACGTGGGTAATATCTCAACAACGATTGGTCGGTTGGATGATGGATTGATTGAAGAGTGTCGATATCCATTTGACGGGGCTAATAGATTGTTGGTTAGTCTCGAGTTAGTTTCCTTCTACTTTCTTTGTGCATGGAGTATTTCCGTCTGATTGCGCTTATCCCAAAGGAGATAAGAGGGTATAATCTTCCAAAAGCGGGGAATTCGGCGATAGCGATACCAATACCGACCGTACAATCATTGAAAATGTACCATAGATATGGAGGCATGGAAAGCTTCAATTGGAGATGGTGATATCCCCTATATCTCTTTGGAGTCACCAGGAACTGGAACTGGATTTGACGTTGCTTTCTTCCCTTCCATATTTATTCAATTGATCATTTCTATCCAAACTTTTCCTGCTCTGGTTCCTTGACTCCATGGTTCATGGTCCAAGACACCCGTGGACAACACCAGCAATGTCCACCCTTAACACAAACGCTTTGATCAATCCGGAGCTTCAAATCAGAACACAAACTTCAGGGTTTTCAGATGTCTAGCAGCTAGCTTCTCCAAAACCCCGTCGTGGTTGCTAATATCCGTGGTTTCATTGGCCGTTTCAACGGCTTTATTACAATGTCGGTGACTGGATTGGTTGAGAGCATTCACGCACACAATTTCAAGCTTTCTATGCCGCAAATAAGGATGGGACGGGCGCGAAAAAGTGGCCGAGAAGGCTGACACATCCGTCCTTTCTAGAACATTTTTATTATGAATTGAATTTTTTATATCCTTACCGCTGCAATGCTATAGCAAGACAAGACTAAAAGTACGGTCCCGAGATAGATGCTAGGGGAGGGGTGTCACTCCGTAACTCCGAAAGGCCGGAGGTCATGAGGGGGTGCAATTGTTCGGATTTCACTTGTAAGATGACGGAGATGCATAAAAGAGGGAGAGTGATATCATTAATGCTATATGTATGCAAGTTCCTCTAGACATCTTAATCCTCCAATATCGTTGCTTGCCCAGGTGTCTCTCGATAGTTCCCTGATGCCACTTCATTCCTGATTTGCCACTGGAGAGACGTGGCAGAGAAGTCTCTCCATGTTGACGTCTGTCTTCCTATCCATCCTAAGCACCGCCTTCTCTCTTCGCATACTCCTCCTCGATTCTTTCCTCGTACAGTCTGTCCGCCTCTAGTTGAGCCTCGGTCTTCTGTACTGTCTCGGTAGATTGATTTGAGGTGTCGGCCGTAGTGGTGTTTGGGGCCGCATTGGCTGTGGTTGAGGGGGTTTCGGTAAAGGATGGCATTTTGTGTGAGGGGTTGTGAATGATTGAGAGTGTCTTTTCTGTATCTTCTGCCTGGTAATGATCTCTTGTAGTATTAGAGAATAAATGTAGTTGCTGTATGATAATAAAACGAGCTCGAATTCTCCATGAAGAGCACCCTTCTTATGTGCCAGGTGTGGCGGTGGCTGTGCACTGTGGCACGAATTTATTATGTAATAATGAATGATATTTTCATTCCTAGTGCTTCCTTTCGAGTGAAATCGAGAGTCTCGCCCTCCATGAATCCCCGATTCCTTCCGCTGGTATCATATGATGATGCGTTAGTTGACTCCATTTGGTCTTGTAGCCTATAGCTATTAGACCCATGTTAAATAAAACTCATACATGTACATATCACGAGCGAACAATGAGGAAAGCCACTATGTTTTATATCCTGCGAGAGGAATTTTTAGTTGTATGTACCCAAGCTTCTCTTATAAACAGCCTTACAACACCAAGAACTCGATGCTTATGTACAAATAGGTATCAATCATCGTGGTCCTATTCTTACTTTCACCTATGTTCGCCTGAAGTGTTGTCTTTGCGTATCTCTCCCTTGCTTCCATTCGATGCTGAGTAGTGACCTCTCCATCTTGTATATGATTGACTTGACTCCTTCTCGCCATTATACGATTGACTTGACTCCTTCTCGCCATCCTGTATATGATTGACTTGACTCATCCTGAACAGGCCTGTGTAGTGCTGCTTCGTCGTGTAGTTCTTGTCATCCTCATCTGGAAGTGGCATAGCGGCGGCGTCCCCCATCTCCTCGTGGTAAACCTTCAAGAGCTTCTTGTAGAAGTAACTTCGCCTTGATGGAGCTCTCAGTACCAGAGATCAGGTTATATGTCAGCCTATGTAGTGGATACAGTGAGCGGTATCTCTTTGTCTGGAGCGCGAGGGTCTCTTCTTCGATATTGTGACCTTCTCGCACTGCCTTCAGTATCGAGGCACCAAATTTTCCGAGACCACCTAAACGAGTTGATATGATTCTGCTGTCAAGACCGGTATATTCATTGCTTAAAATGTAAAATAAATATGGTCTGCTCGTTGAATGCTGTGCAGATACTATGGGAGTGCTAGGCAGGTGGCCTATCTCATAGGCGCCGCTTTCTCTGCCGAAGACTTTGGTCTCGTGAAGCCAAGAGCTTTGGGAATACCAGCCAAGACCAGCGTCAACAAACTCTTCATCAATCCCATTCTCTTCAATGAAGATGTTCGGAAAAGAAGAGAGGGACTGCACAAGTTGCTCGAGCTGCTTCCCAAATCTTGCAGTTGGGACTGTATACATACTTTTGGAAACTGTCAACGAAGAAACTCGAAAGGGTTCAGGATCTTCAATGATGCGGAGCGGCGCTAAAGCTATGGGTACACATGAACTCCGGTGGCTTTTTCGAGACCTGAAACTGTACTCTTCCAAGCATGATACGGGCAGCTTCAGAGAGGACATGTAAAACTGAGTCGTTACAGCTTGTTGAAATAGTCTAGCGGGATGACAGAGACCAGTTTTTCTTCCAATATGGTCTGTGCAGTATGTTCCTAACAGCGGTAACACACCTTGGCATGAATATTCCATCATGACAATCGATCTTTTATTGTACAAAGTGCGATGAGGGTAGAGATACAAAGGATGAGATGCACGTTCGAGAGAGTTCGAGGCGAAGTGGTGATGTAGTTTAGATATTGTGAAAAAAGAGATTTATGGCTAATTGTGATGGGATTTGTAGTATCCGGAAATCTTTTAAAAAAATAAACAGCAGGTCAATAATGAGCTGAATGGAAATGAAGTTGAGAGAGTTGCAAGCTTATTATGAGTTCAACGAGATTACTATAGGGCATGGAAAGTAAGGTGGTAGCAGATCCTCCTATCAACAAAGAATTAATTCTCTGGTGTGACAGCTCATTTTCTCGTCCGTGTCACAGCAAACGACGAGCGGTGTGTAGCAATAGGTCTAGCAAACAGACTTGAACACGGAAGGTTGCAGCTAATGGTCGAAACCAAAGCCACCTCCTATTTGGACAAAGATAGGTAGGTAACTTGATGTAATCTTCAGATTACTGCTATCTTACTTCGGATTGAAAACTTACGAAAAGTTAATTTACTGATCATTATGATCATTATATCGAGAATGATGGGGGAAGGTCGGAAATCATGCCTGAGATTCGTACGTTTTGAATACCACAATGAGGAATGTTATTCCTGAGCCAGTAGCTTTTGCTGCATATCTCAAAGTGACTTCCCGTGAGTTGGCTTTTTCAAATCCCTCATCATGCAGCTTAAGAGTTGCCTTCCGTTCGATTTGTAACGAATGACGCTTGCGTGTTTGTAGCCTGTGGAAGATAACCCAGGTATCTATGACCTAATTGGTTTTAATTGCATGGGGTATAGCTTTAGTCGTGTAGCCCTTCGATTGCACCTCATTTACTGACTCGTATCGCTAAAGCTAAATATCCGGGTCAGATATTCAGAGCCACAGGAAGGTAACCAATGTATGGAAAAGATCTTCTTAGTTATAGGGACGGAGACTTATAAGCGAGTCTGAAAATTTGAAGCATTTATGATACATGATACAGAAAATGTGATCAAACTGAAACTAGCTATCTGAAAACAATTTCTTGGAATGTAAACCATCCAATATCTAGATGGCAAAAGAAGAGAGCCTCATCCCGTCCCGATATCCCAGGATAAGAGAATGCAAGAACAAATGTATGCATAAAAGCAGCCTGGATCCAGCAAGAAGTACCACAGTAGACTTCACTATAAGCCTCAATGAATCATTTGATTGGTAAGTACTCTTATTGGTTAGAGCTCCAGGCGGGTAAACCGTCATACTCTACTCCACATTAGTGAAATACCAAAGTGTATACTGGATCATTATTTGCCCATTTGAAATTGGGATGATATTTGTGTCTTGAGAGCAGACAAAAGGAGACTCATCTCCTTCCTACCTGTGAAGTTTTCCTCTTTTGATCCTCAAGAAGTTCAAAATATCATACGAATTCTTGCAGATCTTTCTCATCAGCCGATTTTGGACGCACAGGATCTTTTCTGTTACCACAGCATTCATATCATCCATTTCTTGGAGCGTTTGACTTCTTTCTCATTGTTCATTGGGATCTCTAGAATACTCTTGAAAACCAAACATGACTTTTCAGGAAAGGAAAGAAGGAGCAAGAAATTACTGCATTTATATCTTTCATAACCGCTTCCCTCAGTCCATTGCACAAATGTGAGCAACAGAATATAAGATATTAGTTCCTTCCGTTCTAATGAGCTTCTACCCATGCTTGTATCACACCCCTCCAAGAAATATTCTAAATTCATATCTGTGTTCCACCAACCGCCAAAGATGGTTCTGACGACGGTTCACTTCTAGCCCAAGAGTCCGTACCACCACGTTTCTCTCCTGTTCCTCACTCTTCACGACATCACTCTTCACGACATTACTGTCCACAACATCTGTGCCTACTTAAGCTCTCTCAATAAAGTTGCAATGAACCAGAACATGAGTAATGAACTACACATTCTCCAGTTTGTACTCATGATGCACCAACTTCCAAGTGTGCAGAGCGAGCAGAGCGATCAGGACGTATCATAAGCGAGGTAGGAAATGCGAGAAATTACAACGATATCCCAAGCACGAGATAAAATCATCATGACTATCAACTGTTTATCTGATCTCATCTTTGGCTTCTTAAGATAGGTACAACCATCCCATTTCATTCCTATAGCAAATATACTCTTTCATTCCTTGTAACGCTTGTATCTTTTCCCTTCACTTCAATCCCCCGCCCCCGAACACAACACTCTCCCGTAGCCACCACCCAAATTATGACTCACAATCACCCATTCCACCGAATCAGAGTAAACCACCCATATGCAAAAGTAGATGCATTCTCCTCGCGCTCGCTCATCACATGTAATAAACAATTAAGCAAGCAACCGCGTGCGCTCGAATCCGCCAATATATGTATGTGAGTTGATTTGCAAACACAAGCCGTATGATAACCATAAAAGCCAAACCATCTACTGTATCATCCATCCATCGCCGCGACGATAAAAAGCACCCAAACGCCCCTCCGTCCACCCCTCAGTCTTTTCATTCAAGATTATGCTACGAAAAAATCTCTCCGTTGGCTTCTACGCTCATAGGGCTTCCTCCGTTGTTTGCCAACGCTCTTGGATTCCTCCTCCGTGGCTTGAGTCGAGCACTCGCACTGGCGCCACCAGGTGCAACATCAATACCCTCATCACTATCCTCAGCATGCTCCAGCGCATATGCGGTCGCTTCATCCAACTCTCTAACCTCATCTGGTCGTTTCCTCAACCAGCCCATTCGAGGACCACTTCGCGCTCTCTCTGAAACCTTGAATCCGTAAATTTTAGGTTCGTAGACTTTGCCTTTGCCGAGACCAGGTGCAAGGTTTGATGCATTCATGCCGTTGATCTTTTCCTTTTCTTCATCGTTGGAGTGTTGTAAACTTCTGCCTCCATGCCCACTCAATGCTTCTAATCCCTTCTTGCTAATATCGTAATCGGGGAATGTGAGGAGAAAGAGCGCCCCAAAAGTTCGTCCAAAGTAGGCACCATCGACCGTCTGGAATCGGGAATTTGGAGGAACGTATACGTCGAGACAGGAGGGACAGAACAATTTGACGGTGTCTTCACCTGGTACATCAGATAATCCTACGGGTAATGTGCGGACTTGTTCGCAATGTGTTCGTGGACAGACACCAAAATGGGCAAGGTCGTACTTCTCCGACATTTGTTGTATACCAGCTCGAGAACAGATAAATCGTTGATGGATAAGACCATAGAGCATCTCTGCGGAGGATTCTATAATTGATAGATCGCTTGCCATTCGTTGATGTCTTCTTTCGGCTGCAGCTTTACGTCCTGATCGATCTTCGCCCTCAATAGATGCATCCTCATCCTCATCCTCATCCTCGTCATCTTCGTCCTCATCTTCTTCTGGCTCGACATCTAAGATCATCTAATAATAGGTTCACGTTAGCATGTTGTCAAGATACATGAGTTATGTATTGAATTACCTCGAGTGCTTCCTTATACATAGCTACTTGTGTTTGTAAACCTGTCAAATTGAAGTCATCCTCTATGAATTCCTCCGATATCTCTGCAAAGTATTCATGTCCCAATAATGCGCAGAAAGAAGAGATCCAAGATTCTGGAGTACCAGAAGAGGAAGACATCTTGTGGGGGGTAGCTGGGTAACTTCGAGTAAGTTAGGTTCAAGTTCCAAACCCAACCTGTTGTTGAATGTCTGTTGAAAATCCGTGACAACTAGTATCAAGATTGACGCAGCAGGCTTGCCAGTTGAGTGAAACCGAAAAAGATGTGACGTGAAGTTTATGACCGCTCCAATATACCAGAGCTCGTATGCTTCGTAGGAAAGGCACTCTTAATGACGCGGTTGAATGTATCGCACTTCCTATATTGATCCAGAAACAGTCGTGTATACTGGCAGAGACTATCCAGTAGGAGGTATCAACGTGGAGCTGTGGGTGTGCGAGTTGCAGATTACTTGGTACTTTAATTAGGTATCCCACTCGAGAGTATTCGTTGTATTGCGCTGGTCCGTCTTTGCGCACGGTATGTTGTTGAACTGGTTTGATAGGGGGTAAATGCTATGTATTCTGATGATAGAATTTCTTCAAATTACTCTCGATCACAATTTGAAGATTCGTGGTTTGATGTGGTTGCGAGGGAAAGTCCTTTCAGCTTGTATCTTCCAAAGTGGAAATCAACTATCGACCGCTGTTGACCTTTTTATCAAAAGCCTCGTCTTCGAGATTAAACTTCAGCTTCAGGCATCTACAACCCCGCTAGGCAATCATTTCTGAGCCTTTCTAAGCCGAGGTCAGGCCGATCACGTGAGGAACTTTTTGGTTTGCTTTCAATCACTTTAACAGGCAAGAAATCATTTCGAGTTTAAACTACAGTAGTCTGATTGTATCTAGAAATAGTTTCGCGGATTTGAACGTCGAGAACTATTTTCATATGAGTCTTCGTATTCCCAAACTCCATCCTCTCATGCCATTTTGCAGCGCTAGAACTCCAAGACAATGCGTCAAATGCTTCATAGCTACAACTCTCAATGATACGATGGATACTTCAAGTAGCGTATCATCATGATAATTCACCAAGCAATAATCGATTCTCTTTCCTCTCTTGTACCATCTTTGTTCTGTAAGGATCTCTTACACTTGACCATAATATAACGATCCGGCATATGGAAATCCACAACTACTAATTGAAAGCGCTTATCTTCTGGTACCATCCAGACCCTTTCTTGTCGAGGCATTGGAAAGTGTTCTCTGATGGGTGGTGTAAGAGCTTGAGCATATGGCGAAGGAATTTGTGGCACTGGACTCTGCCTTTGTGATAAATAGGGTGCAAAGTTTTCCTGGATCAAGTCTCTATCCTCAATCGTTTCGCCATTGTTCCAGCATCCTGGCGATAGAACACCATTGTGAAATTGTACCGATCCCCCATTTTGGAAGATGTGGTTGCCGTAGCCTGGCTGTTTGTTGGGAGGTTCGAGTATCCCGGACACATCCAATCCATCTTCTTCGCAGCTCATTATCCACCGGCCAATCCTAGCACTTAGTACACCATCCCACATCCCTTCCTGCCTTGGACTTCTGAAAAGCAGATCAATTGCCTTTCTTCTGATGCTTGGTTCCCTACATTTGGTCGCTACTACATGTAATGGCGGAACAATCCCGATATCGAGGCTAAATCGTGATGAATTGATAGCCGAGGGATTCGCCTCACATGTTGTAACGAGCTTTTCCGCAGCTCGAACTATGTACCGAAATTCATTCAGGAAAGAATCATAAACCATTTCTGAGGAAGATGTGACAGCCGATAGTGTTATGGCTGTGGCCTTCAGATGGGCGATAAGGACAATAGCGGCCTGATTAAGCACCTTTCCTTCAGGGGATATAGATAAGCTCAATATAGGTTGGAAGGCTTGCTCGAATTCATCTAGTCCTGTGACATAATCTGCATATTGCCGGGCTATTTCGCTAGGAGTATCACTTTTCGCACTAGCAAACTTCCTGTCGAAAAGTGTTCTTCGATAGTATTGAAGTGTTCGGTCCATTAAAAAGTCCCAACAGTGCTGAGCTTCAGAAAAACTTGTGAATACTTTTGGAATGGGAATGTGATGTGCAGAATGAATGTCCCAAAGTAGGGGGGGAATACCCGGTGTCATACCGAAGAACACTACGATAAGAAGACAGTCAGCATGTGCCAAAGTATAAAGTTAAGAAGAAAATAGAATTGTCCAGATCTGTTCAATCTTGGTTGGACCGAGAAAAACAGAAGCACACTTACGTCCTTGCCCATCCAGGCGGACGAATGCTTGTATTATAGTTTCCTCCAGGGTAAAGTCGTTGTTTAAAATGGGAGGAGTAGGACTTCTCGATTGAAGAGGCCGCTTTCGAGGATTCGTGAGCACAGGTGGGGACTGGGAAGATCTATAGGTAATAGGCGGTGGTGTATTACCCATGGAAGGGGGAGTATGAAGTGACTCTGGAGTGCAGATACTGGAAATTGAATGGTTGGATGATGGCCTTCTGCCAGGGATTGCAATTGGCATCGCAATGTTGGGCTTTTGTTGTTCGCTCGGGGATATATATTCACTGGGTGTTTGGTACGCACTCGGATAATCTTGAACCGGTGTACCTGACAGAGAGCGTTGCTGTTCCAATGTTAAGTTTGACTTGTAATGTGATGGAATGGTCATGGCATCTAGTCGTGGACTGTAATCTCTTTGTGGTGGTGTGGGTGTCCTATCTATCGTGGGGGTATGCGCAGGTCGAAGTGGCGGCTTTTCAGTTTCCAGATACTCTTCGATATGTGATGAGATAGTGGCTGATTTGGAGGAACCATCCATACCTGGCCGACTGTGAACTTTGGCTATAACCTTATCAGTCTGGGGGTTCGTATTGAACCCTGCTGAGATCCGCCGCGGAATCCAGGGTTTCGATCCAGGCTTTCCAGCATAATAACTCCTCAATAGCTTCAAGCCTCCATAAGTTTGCTGCACCGACGAAGCATAACTTCCTTGTATGGTTTCAAAGCAAACAAAAAGTAAACATGCCATAAGCGCTGTTCTCAACTGAGGACCATTAGAGGTAGATATGTACTGGTTCAAAGCTTGAATGGCCTTGAGATGTTGTATGACGGCAAATTCAAGATGCCTTTTGTTTATATCTTGAATGACGTTAACTTTCAAATGTGGTCCAGGTGCTTCTTCAATGGCTTTGTTAAGAGCTGCAATAGCGATTACTGCATGTCGAATTGAAGTGACATTGTGACTCTCTCGAAGAATAATGTGATTCCAAAAGGTGGGATCAAAGAAACCAGGCAATTGATACGCTGTTCGATCACAGAAATATTGGAAATACCGGCCTTCCTGCTCTGTTGCTGCAAGAGAAATACTTGGAGTATAAATATCTGCCGTTGGAATTCTAGGTTGGATTGGCATCATGTTTCCTCGTGATCGAATCTCGTGAGCGTATCCATCGCATGTTCGACCGAACTTTTGACATCGAAGACATTGTGGTTTCGTTTCTGTTGATCATTCGGAAGGATTAGACGTAAATTATGTAAATTTCTAGTAGCTTCGAAGGGAAAATTAAGATGCTGCTCAATTCTGGTACCTTGAAGGAAATTGTGAAAAGTCCATTGAATTTAGAATTACGAAACAACTTACCGTCACATTTAACACGACGAGCCCTGAGAAATCAATGTCAGATATCTGCGAATATATGCCCAAGAAGTAGAAAGGTAGACCAGAAGGTACTCACTTGCATGTAATGCAGCCTGACTTAACTTTAGGTTTGCTCGCTCTAGCTCTTTTGGACGGTCGTGATCCATCGTCCCAAGTCGATTGCCGTTCCAAGTCGTCGGGGTTGGTATCCATGAATGAGACTTTAGAATCCCGTTTCATCGAAACCTGTGTAATCGAAGATCTGGAAAGCGCCATCACAAGGCAAAAACCAGTCTGGAGTGATGTGTTTGATGGGATGTCTAATTGGACATAGGCGAGAAAATGACATTGGATTTGAGGACTGAATATACATGGAATAATTGTTGTTGTTTCTTGAAGTAGTACCTTTCTCTTCCATGACGATATCCAAGAATGAATATAAGGAAGAAATGATGTCCATGATGAACTGTTGGGGTCCTAATTTGATGTATCCAAAGGGTCGCTAGTTCATCGGACCCACCGATAATCTATTGCAGAACTGACCACTGAAGAGTAAGATCTGAAGCCCTGTAATGATCGTTAGTAGACCCGAATTCCAGGCAGAGCATAGACCACAACGTGGAAAATGCAAACAAGCCCCGCGCTCCAGACTGCCGAACGTCACCCTACACATGCACGATCCGGGCGGAGCAATGCTCTCTGTGGCTGGGTGAAGTTGTTCTCACATATTTGCAAGGCTTCTATGGTATAAAGGGAGAGTTCATCATCAGCCCTGTGGGATAAGTAATCGTCGTTTGTGGCTTTGAAAGCTACTAAGGCAGCTACAAAGTAGGCACATGTGTAACATTCATGGGGTCTAGAATCAAATAGCATATTTTGATTGAAGCATCGAAGAATCACCCTGGGATTTGTGCCAGTTGTCATAGCTGATTTATGAATTTCATAAAATCGCCAAATATTGGAAACGAGCTTCCCCGCTCGCCCATACCCTGACATTAACAAATAAATGCACTGATATCGAAGTCGAGAACGCTCTAATTGGCCCTTTATACGGTATCGCACGATCATTCGTGGAAAAGGGGCGCCCCGGTAATTTAATCACCCTATCACCCTATCATGCTTCATACCTGCCCTTATTAGATCCGAAGAATAGTTGCCAAAATTGAGCCGCAGGTTACAACGAGCCTGATCCGATGTGCATGGCAATCGTGATGATGTTATAATAACGATCGATATCATGATGATGTTTGAGAGGTCGTTTACCTTCCAATCCAAGGCGTCCATACCCGATGGTAATATTTCTGGAAAGGCAATTAGAAACCACTGTTTGCGTAAAGTTGCCAATCAGAATGCTGACATCAGATGTTCTGTACATAAATGTGCGGCGATATGCCCGATGCTGTGCAAGCCTCTTGATCGGTATAAATCAGCCACAAGCGGGTAACCATCCATAATCACATCTGAGGACCCAAGGCCGAAATTTCAAAAACTTGGGATAGCGATTGGTAAGGCTGATGATATTCCGGAGTGATCGAAAGTTTCGAGAGGGAAAATGGTTCCTATTGGTAGATATGACGGAAACGGCTTCCAGAATCGTGTCAGACCTCCGCGTTTCATCACCACATTTTACCCCAAAGAGAAGTATTGATATTTGACAGTGGGATGCCTATGAATCCTCCATGCACGTCGTTCTTAGAATCTGACATTACCGAAGATCCAAGAAAACCTGGTAAGCTGTAAGGATATCATGAATAAAAATAGTATGGTGCACTTTTGCACTCAGTCACTGAGGTATGAAAGCACAGGTCGGTCGAGCAAAGAGACATCGAAAACCTTGATTATCATGTGTTCTGACTGAAGTACAGGAACTCCTAACTTTGCTGTGCGAATTCAATTGACAATTAGAACTATCGAAGACCCACGTCAATGCAAATGACGAATCGGGGACCAGCCAGCACGGGCTCAGCCGTTGTATATCCAAGCCCTTGATCAATAAAGTTATGTGGAGTCGTGGTCCCATTCAAGTCTATAACGAACAGGCCTTGGAATGTCACATTCGTTGATAAGGTAGCAATGCTTCAGGATTGCAATGAGACAAAGTTTCCCGGCTACAGTTTCCTCCAGGCAACTTTCTCAAAACTTTCAAGAGATGATAAATGCCAGGGTCGTTTGCAGATTCATGGCAAGTCTTTTAAAATTGCTCCCATGAAGATATTAGATCGGGGAATTGAGAAATTTACTCTCTTCCTGGATACCAAATTCCAGTAGTATCAAGAGGGACACGCGCAAGTAGTCAGGTTAGTTTCAAGGCTCAAGCAGTACGTATGTCTAACCTCCCGAGACAGTTCTGACGTAGGGAGATAGGACGGAGACAAGTGTGAACAAGTGTGTTCCGTTCCCGAAAAGCGGAAGATACCTTGGTTAGTAATCTCCGAACGTGTGAGTAGAGGTGTATTAATGCTTTTAAGGAGCCAAATCGACTTGCAAATGCTGGTGTTGGTAATATCAGATGTAAATGCTGTGAGGACCTCGGAAGCAATGAATCTTTCTACTCGAGTAATGATTGGTGATTGATTACCTAACTCTTCTACCGGCTGACATATCACAATTGGTCACAAAACTTGCACCATTTTTTGTGGGACCATTGCCTATTAATTATAGCATCATCGTCTAAGCTGATATTGAAGAAGTATATTTTCTGCATTTACCAGCAACTCAATCATCTTTTCACACATTGACTTTAGAGAACAAAAGTCTATCAAATTCTATACTCAAACCATTACAAAAAGCTCGTGATCATGGCTGACCCCTCTCTCTACACCTATCCTTCACCTCTTGAAGGCTATGAGAACTTGGCTCCTCTTGGAACTGACGTATCACCTGATGGAAAAAGTCTTTTAAACCCGGAGACTGGAATTAAGAGCAAGAGTTATGAGAAGTTCACAGAGCCTTTGGATCGTGGAATCCGGGGCGCGTTGTAGGTTTTCGCTAATGACCATGCGCAATAAAAACGAAGGCTAAGAGGATCTAGCGATGTACATATCTATCATTTCCAGAAGAACAAGGAGCAAGCCAAGTTTGCCAGAGAATTGTGGGAGAGGATTAGAAGAGAATGTAGGATTCTATCTCTATAGTCAGTCCCGTGGATTGTTGCGTTCGTACTGACTCAGGATATAGTTCCGGAGCTTCGCATCTATAGATTCTGGGAAGAACCAATTGGACCTCATCCTGTTGCTATGTTCGAAGTGAATATTTTCACTCCGCAACAATTTGGCGCTTTCATACCTTGGCTGGTGATTAACAGGGGTCCGTTGAGCGCGTTGGTTCACCCAAACACGGTTGATGAGAAAGGAGAGGTATTAGATGAAGAGAGAGACCATACGCAGAGAGCGATTTGGATGGGAGAAAAACTTCCACTAGATTTGAGTTTGTTTAAGAAGCTAAAGTAGCAGAAAGCTGCACAATAGGAAGATATTCTTGGTTAGGGATAATGAGCAGCAGGAAATATCTGTGCAACTGAAGGTTAATTTGCAAAAGGGGAATGCAAAATCATTAGTGACAGAAAGGAGAATGTATTTAGATACCATGTACTTCACCTGAACCACCAATTTACCGATACGTTAATTCCACTCTCTGAACTTCTTATGCTATGCCACCATCCTTTTGGTATGAACAACGCATCCCCGGGGCCGACCTCTACCTCGAAACCCTGGTCTGTGACCTTTTCTCCCCAAATACGATCCTCAAGCAGAGATCTTTCTGGACCTTCCATCATCTCCTCACCTCTCATGCTGGCAATTCCCGATGCACCAATACTTTGTTGTACATTATGATATATCCCCACACCAACTGCTGGTGGAAATAATCGGACTCTTTTCTTGCTCACCAACTGTATGAAGAGATTCGGATTAGGATCTTTGTGTAATGGTGTATAACTTGTTGATATACCCATCCATATATTAGCATCGTAAACATCGCCTTTCCCAGCTTCTTTCACCAATTTGGGTGTAGGCAAGTCTCGTTGTAATTCTGTCGGCAGATCCGCTATTTGAGCCTGTGCAATGTAGAGCGGGAGAGAGTATGCCGGATGAGTGGCTGCTAGAAATAGAGAAAATGGTGCGTAGAAATGATAGAATGACTTTTTGGAATCGTAAGGCTCTAGTGATTGGCGTAATTGCTCCGAAAACAGCATGTGGTATGTATTGCTGGGCTGCATAAGCCGCTCGAGTCGCTTCCGCAAGGCGCCAGAGTCGACTGTCAATTCGTAAGGGAGGACAGTGTCTGCGAAGCTATGGAGATATTGCGATGGCAGAAGAGTGCTAGTCTCAGCAGGTGGAAGCACTTTTGCAAATTGTGACGAAGGAACGTGCTCGAACCATTTCGCAACTACATTCAAAGACTTTTCACTCCCTGAGATCGTCGATAATTTGTCTTCCACGGATTTCATGAATATAGGCTTCATGGGAATGAAGGCTTCTTGTCTGAATTCATCGAGGTTGACATCGTCAAAAGAGGAGTTGATTGTTTGAACGGACGGTAGACTGTGGTATTTGCGCACGGCAATTGATGATGAGAGTCCTCGTTTGCATTTTGTTGTTTGACATATTGTACTAGTTAGACGCAATCGCATGTTGTGTGGTTGATGGTCTAATAATTGTCACCATGCAATTGAAGATTGACATTTTTTTCGTAGGGATGACCTTAGCACGGCACTGCAAGTTTGCGGCCAATGCACATGCTAAACTGACGGATAGCACAGACCATTTGAACTAGCACCACTGGCTGGCTCGGGCCGCTCGGCCGGTAATAATTAATTAATATAGTATTACGTAAGTCTTCCTTCTGTCAAAATAATATCTCTCTTCATAACCTCTGTGATTTGAACCTTTCTACTCATCAGGAAATGATGTCTTTTGCTCTTCGAAACATGTGTGTCTTGCTCACAATTAATTCTCTAAGTCTTTGTTGTGAACTTGAGAAAAGATTTACTAAACGGCTTCCGCTTCTCTAAAGTGATGACATATGCTATTGAAGTATTCATATATGCATGCGGTGCTGACACCTCGGCCCGCACACCAAGCAGAGACACGAAGGTCGTATCAAGTGGCTGGCTGAATGCCGAAGCTTTCTCGCAGACCCCGCGCGCGAGAAGACCCTTTCTATTTCCTATTTAACCTTTAAAATAACATGATTCTTCGTCATTGTGTCAATTAGGACCTTCCACAAGCTCAGCTCCTACTTCTCATCAATTTCGACATACTTTGGGAGATCGCCCGATCTACTGTGTCAGTGAAATCCTTCGTCTACTCCTCATTGAAGCTCTGGGAGAGCCATTTACTAAATTTTCGGAAGTGAGCCGAATTCATACGGGTATTTAGGTCAAAATGTCTACTCAGACTAAAAGAAATGTCAATCCTGTCGTAATTACCCCTGCCTATCCTTCTTGCAACGTTGCAATATAATAACAGCTAACACACATTTCATCCATTTATAGTATGGGAATATTGTCCGGATCAATCATGAAGCCCACGAGTATACATATTACCCCATTGCTATCATCGGTGCTGGTGAATCGGGTATTGCTATGGGATGTCGTTTGAAGGAACTCCTAGGGTTTGATCAGTTTCGCATATTTGATAGGCAATCGGGAATCGGGGGAACATGGTGGATCAATCGCTACCCCGGAGTTGCTTGTGATATGTCAGTTTCTCGCCCGATGAGATTATATTTGACAATAGATTCATGCTGACACTATATGATAGACCCTCAACATTCTATTCATTCTCGTTCTGCCCCAAGTACGATTGGTCATGTTTTTTTCCAGGGGGCGCAGAGATGGCCGAATATCTCCAGACTGTTTGTGAGAAGTATGCAATTGTGGATAAAATACAAGTCAATACCGACGCCAAAGAAGCACGCTGGCTTGAGAACGAACAAGTTTGGGAAGTAACATTACAACACTTGATGGTTGGTGCTGGAGATTTGAGTGAAGAAGATCGAGCACTCAAGGTCAAAGAGCAAGGCCATAGTGCCGTTTATACCTATGAAGAGAAGATTCGATGCAAAATCTTAATAAGTGCTGTTGGAGGACTCGTTCAACCAAAATCTTGGCCCGAGAGTATCCCCGGAAAAGATAATTTCAAAGGAGAGATTTTTCACTCCGCTCGTTGGCGATTTGACGTCAATCTCAAGGACAAGAATGTGGTGGTTATAGGAACTGGTTGCAGTGCAGCACAATTCGTGCCGAAACTCGTGACTGAGTATGGTGCGAAGTCAGTAACTCAACTAATGCATTCTCCTCCATGGGTTTCACCCAAAGTCATCCCGCCACTAGGAGAGAATTTGTGGAATAAATGGTCACCAACATTGAACACATACGTACCCGGGTTCAATAAAGCCATGCGTTATTCGTTAGGCGCAGTGCTTGAATATGATTTTCGAATATTCCGATCCGGCTCTTTCGGCGAGAGAGAACGTAGAAAGTTGGAGGCTGAATGTTTGGCTTACATGAAAAGTAAGGCGCCCGAGAAGTATCACGAGATTTTGACTCCAAACTATGGAATTGGTTGTAAGAGGAGGATCTGGGATCCGGAATGGTATGCAGCTCTGAATGACCCGAAAATTCATCTGACAACGCTTCCACTGAAGAGCCTTGAAGAAGATACTGTGACTTTGGGACCTGGTCGTAACTATCCACCTGAGAACGTAGCAAGCTCCGTACCAACGGACAAAATTACCATTCCTGCTGATGTTATCGTTCTTGCAAATGGGTTCCAAACAACGAAATGGTTCCATCCATTTAATGTCTACGGCAAGGAAGGAAAAACATTACAAGACGTATTTGAAGAACGGGGTGGTCCTCAAATGTACATGGGGACTGCTATGGATGGATTTCCAAATTTCTTCACTTTGCTTGGCCCGAATTGCTTTACTGGTCACACATCTGTTATTTATACTACAGAAAGTATGGTGACTCAAACCCTCAACTTTATCAAGCCTTTGCTCAATGGCAATATTGCCAAGTTAGAGGTCAAACAAGAGGCTCAAATGAAGTGGACTACTCAAATTCAGTCTGCCTTGAGAAGTATGGTGTGGGCAGATACTCGTACGAAGAATTGGTACCTCCGTGATGATGGATGGAATTCGAACACTTACCCGTATGACCCCTTTTTTTTCTTACTCCCATCTATGAACTAATCGGTTACAGATACACTCAACTTGACTTTTACTATCGCTGTTCGTTCCCAACTTGGAGACACTGGAACATTGCATATACGCGGAAAGGCTTCCTCAAGAAATGGACTAAGAGAACATTTGTTCTTCTGGTTTGGACAGTAGCTTTTATCGATATTTATAAGAAGAGGACGTCAGGCGGTGGGTTGGGATTGAATGAATCACTAAACAGATGGTTCAAGAAAGGTCTTTTGGTGACAGCTTCTACGCTGACAAAATTAGCAAAGAATATACAGTAGTGGGCTGTAATAAATTCTATCACACATTGTGAGAGCATTCATTTCAAACGCATAAGGCATATTCCAAATTCAACTCTATCAAGACGAGCCTACTCGCGTGGTGAAAATGAGAGATATATACTTATGCTGCCACCACCTGAATTCTTATATACTCTGAATCTTGCAACTTCAGAATGATTTGATTTATGGAACTTGAAACTGTTCTTGTGGAATGAAAACACGCCAGTGCCTATGACCATCCTTGAACATCTAGAATCTTCATTGCTGCTTCTTCTTGCCGAATGAATTTCAGAGCAATCCTTGATGCACAGCTCTAGAGATTGAACACGTATAGACCACTGGACGTGAACAATCGTTGTTATCAAATTCTTAGAGAAATTTATCTGCATAGATGACCGCTCAATTGTCCCTCTTGGGGTGAAGCATTACTTCGGCAGCTAGGTATCTCGATATGTAATTCTAAGCGCTCACTTGTTCACGAACACTCAACGAATGCTTGGATCAAGATTTGAATCAAACTGTACAAATTATCAGTGCATGATTGATTGGCATCATGTCATGTCACACTCCCACTTTGCACGGCCTCTACGGCTCAATTTGAAAGTCCAATATCTTGCAATACAATAAGTTCTGGTTACCATGTACGAAACTGTTTATTCTTAATTGTTTAAGTACTCAAAAACAGTCTGAAATTACTTTTCCTTCATATTCGGAACAACCACATCATGAACAACATTTTTATCTGCAACTTAAGCCATCTTATTTACCGAACTCGAAAATCTAATCGCTAGAAGATCTTTCCACACTAGGGTGAAATCTTCCTTACTGTCTCAAACATCGATCAATAAACATGTCAGATATCGTACGCCTCAATGAGGCTCTACAACGCTTGGATGATCTACGAAGGCGTAACCGACCCAATCAACGGCGAATTTACAACTTACGACACACTTCTGAAGCTCTTGACGCTAACGTATCCTCGCGTGCAACAACTGGTTCTGGAACTAGAAGATTTTCTCTCACCATCGTTAATGAGACTAAATGGATCCGGGAATGTCGAATAGTGCGTGAGGTTGTGTATGCTAGGACACAAAAATTACTACGCCAAGAACTATCGGCAATACAGCGAGATCAGGCTGAGACGCTGGAACCAGGGGGCACTACAAACGACGAGCCTACATCACTCACCGGTGATTCTCCCCAGAATTTAGAAAGTCTCGGGTCTGACACAGGCCAGGATACTCATATCAAAAGTTTAGACTGGTATTTTCGCAAAGCTTTGGTCGATGCGTCTCTTCGTCCTACTCAGAAGCCTTTGGAGGAGATAGACCCGTGCTTTTGCGGTGACCCATACGCGATTGAAACCGCCAATGGGGAATATTATGAAGCTGTCAAAATGCCAAGGTGCTCGCATATTTTTGGACGCTCTTGTATTGTAATGTGGCTTCAGGATTGATTGATTGATTGATTGATTGATTGATTGATTGATTGATTGATTGATTGATTGATTGATTGATTGATTGATTGATTGATTGATTGATTGATTGATTGATTGATTGATTGATTGATTGATTGAATTTACGTCCACCTTCAGTCTAAGACTATATAGGACGACTAGGCCTTAAGGGCCTAGTAGATAACTTTTTATTTTACAATAATAGGAATAAACAATTTGGGGAAGTGCAAACGAACATTGGGGACCTAAGCCCACTTACTATACGTATAACATATAGTAAGACTTGTGTGGCTTCAGGAGAAAGATACCTGTCCGATGTGTAGGCAAAAGATTGTGATACTACCTTTGGAATGATGGCCTTGCAATTGTGTGAGCACTGGGTATTAAGAGGGGCCTTGACTCTTCACCTCAGTCGCTAGATAGAAAAAGAGGTACGAATGAAAACTGGGAGTGGACCTTGTATAGCAGGTTTGCATGGAAAATTGCGACTTAAGCGTTTATCTGGCATAGGGAGCTGGGAAATATAGATCTTTTAACTAGGATGTTATTTAGGAAATTCATTTGCTGGCCATCAGCAGAGAAATATTTGGATTTGATTATTAAGAAATTTTTAAATTTTTTAAAATTGACCGCAGAGTGTGAGACTGAATTAGCGGGAGAAACCGGTGATAATCTTTCCAATGAGAAGGGAAGGCTAGATCATCATAATCGTCAAGTACTTCTTTTAATGGAGACAGATTCGCGAGTCTGAGATTCTCGCTACTTATATATTCATGCCTATGGATTTCTCTTAATCGCTGCATGCTGAATTAGACACTAAAGCATGATCTGGTTTCCCATTTCCATCAAAAGATGGTTGCTATCTGACTTTCACTGTGAAAATTCTTAGCATCTGAACTAGTGATAAAAGAATGGAGTTGGAGATGGAATTGTTCGCAATACGAATAGTACGGCCATTAAAAGGTTATTCATACGTTTCAAAATTGGTGACTGAAGCTGTATCGATGAAGCCGCACCTCAACACACTGTATTGCAAAGCTCCCGTATTGGTGAGTGATGTACTGATTTGATTCCTAGCGTCTATATTATCGCTATATATATCATTCTCTCGTTCGTCACATCCCACTTCATTAGAATCCAATCAACTATTTGAAAGACCCCTATATCAAATCACCGCGAATCTTTCCATAACTTTGACAATTCACAACAGCATCAAAATCACCTACATAGATCTACCATACAGCTTTGTAGACGTTTAGTGGTGTATTTTGTTACTTTTCTAAAGTACGAGGTTCAATTAGAGAAACCGGTACATACAACAGCGACTGAAATATCAAAAAGTATCAGCTACTTCAGAAAATTACCCTCTAGAGACGCTACTCACTCCAGCAGCCCAGTATAGGGATTTCCACCAGACTGAAACCGATATAACCTCGGTATAATACTACCAATGAATCCACTTGACGCAGCACAAGCGGAAGGCGCAGCTCCTATCATCATCATCGTAGAACGCGAAGAAGGAAACGCGGCGGTCCATCTAGATCAATATTATTTTCTTGGTGACGATTTACGATTGCAATTGTCAAATACAGGAGTACTACCAGATAGCATCCCACTTTCCTCTCTCCCAGCAGACGTCGCTAATCGCATGCGACAAGAAGCACAAGAAATTGAAAACGAGAATATCCCCGCCCTTGAGGATCCGGAACAGAGAAGCCTTGAACTAACGAATATGCCTACGTCTTCGGAGAAAAAGGGTGCAATCAGAGCACTTCTGAAACCAGTCAAAAGAGACACAGATGAACTAAGTCCTTGTTTCTGCAACGAACCATACGCAGATGCTACGGCGAAGATAGATAACAATTCGCACGAACCAGTGAAGATGCCAGATTGTCCACACGTTTTCGGGAAATGTTGCATCGTACAATGCTGGGCGAAAATAACCCCTCGACTTGCCCAATGTGTAGGAAAGTGGTTCATTTACCAAGCGATAGACCAGTAACGCGAAATGTGATTGACGATGTTTATAGCATCATTGACTATATTTTCTGAGTCGGAAAGACGTGGTAGATGGGGAGGAGCAGAGTAGATAGCCACTTGATAAGCGAGATAAATTGATTAAGTGGTGGATTGTATCACATTTGGGGCCAGCAGACGGAGGGGGTTCGCATTATTCAACTCTGAATAATAAAAAGCATACCCTCCATGTCACTTGATAAAATCCAATGAAAAGCTCTCTTTTGCTATTATTCTGTTTACGTGATTATGATATCTGAGACCTTACAATTTGAGCCAATATAGCCATTAGAAAATATATCTAGATTTCTTGGCATTATCGATCACATGGCTCGTTAACCCCCTTTGAAAATTGTTAGCGAGTAAAGACGACAGAAAGCTAGTACAAAGACTTTCTAGAGATTAGGTGCGGAAGGAGAACACAATCAAACTTTAGATACGGTTATGATACGTCAAGAGTAAATTATTGGTACGGCAATACTACATTAAAAGTAAATTTTGCGCCGTAGCAATTCCTAACTGCTACATTGTATGAGCAGTACCATGAACAGTACTATATTGTAGGATTCAAGAAAGGTTCATGACGCTAGCACACTAGTACTGGCCATACTAGAGCTTCATTTCATATATAGGCAACAGAAAGTTCTTCCCAAAAACATCCATTCTCTTTCCCTATCTTTCTTCTACATATTAACATCTACAATAACATCTTGACCATCTCTATTTATCTGGACTCGAATTCTTCAAGAGACTTTTAATCTTTAGAAACCTTCAAAACATCTCCACTTTAACTTTTTTTTTAACCAACTCGTTCACCATGACTAAATTCTCGGATTTCTTTCGTGACGTCGGCGGATCCATCACTGGCGCTTTCTACATCAAGAGCGGCAGACGCAGCCACAAACCTACCAGCACCAAACGCCCAGACACTCCTCCCTGCTATCAAGATCTTTTTGGACCATTGACTCAGGTTCCAACAGCCTTGGACGCAGCTGCAGAGCATGAAGCCTTCTTGATGCGAATCGCTCGCGATCCATCAATCCTTGAGCACAATCCAGACTCGGAGGGAGATTTCCCACAAGAAACATTGTCAGACCGAATGGCACACGACCCATCAACCAGAGAGCGCCGCGTACGCCCGAACCGAATCACAAACCATATTCCTGTCGCTTCTCGCATCTACTCAATGTTACCGCAGGTAATCATTCCTGTTTCACAAGCTGAGGTACAGCCGCGCGAAGCCACTCCTCCACCATATGACCATAGTGATAACTTGGTCATTCCAGAGCCAGAAGTTGATACTGCTGAGCCATTTTTACATCTTGTCGAGGAAGCTATCACAGCTTCATCTCCCCAAGCCAGAGCAGTTACTCCTGAGCAAGAAAACACTCATCAGGAAGATACAATTGCCTCCCATTCTGGCCATCAATCAAGAGTCAATACTCATCGTTCATCCCCAGGTCGCTGTATGAGTTCTAATAATACCGAAGATGCTCAATTACCACCAAGAGTCGTCAGCAACCCGGAGCCACGAGCCTCAGTATCCAGACTTCCAGTTGCAATTAGATCCACTTCATTGCAAGATAGATCCACTGCTACTCATCACCCAAGCTCGCGACCAGAGCCTTCTAGCTCACGCCGAGTTGGAGGCCAATCAGCTGCTCGCGAACATGGTGAAACATCTCATGTGCAGCCAAGAGCTGTTAGTACTCCCCAGCCAGCCGCACGATCATTTATCCCAGTTGCTGTTAGACAATATTCAACACAACCAAGAAGTACCCATGATTATGGAGATATCATTCAACGCCATGCACGTGTATCGGATCATCATACTAGCTTGGTAAGAACCACAGAAAGCACAGCGCAACAACTGCCAATGCCAAGACAGCGACCACATCTTGTTGTTGCGCAAGATGAGTCGGATGAATTAACAGGAGAAGAAAATCCTGTTGAGATCCAAAATTTCCTGGCTCGCGATCGATCTGCCTCTGATAATGGCCACCAAAATTCTCAGGGTGCTTCATCTTCAGGAGATCTTACCACTTTAAGATCAGGACATGAATCTCATCGGGATACTGCATCCGGTACTCAAGAAGATCATCAACGAAGCGCACGCAGCAATGAATCCGATACTAGATCAAGAAATGAAGCTGTTCATTCTGACAGATCCAGAGATTCCAATGTCGGATTGGATACACAGAATAGACAGCCCAACACAAATGTCTCTAGGTCTGGATCTTCTGAAACTTTAAGACCTCTGCCTGAGCAACGTGATCCAGTTCACCCAGGTATCACCTCTCCTCTATTGATCGCAGAACTTCACCATGGTAGAGCCAACGGAGCAACTAGACCAACAGTTATTGGTCAACATCTTGCTGAGCAACTTGATGCCGCACGAGCTGCACGTGGCCTACCTAGGTCGCCACGTATGTGGGATATCCCTACACCAAATGATGAAATCAGCAATCCTGTTCATCCGGCAGACTTCCGCGAAGGTGGGTATCAACCAACTAATAGGGACCCAATCTCACGCGCAGAGCGTCCACCTGCTCGGTCAAATGGCACAATGCATGGCGAACACAGACAACGCTATGCGAGACATCAAGGCGCTATTGATAGTATGCGCAGTCGAGAAATGGAATTTGACCAAGAGCTCAAAGAGATCCGTGAACAGGAGAGACAGAGAGCCATCCGAGAGGTAGAGGAGAGAAGACAACACGAGAGAGAGAGAAGACACAGAGAGAGAGCACGCAGAGCAAGAGAGAAGAAAGAGCGCCAACAGAGAGAAAGAGAGGAGTTGAAGGGAAAGAGATCAGATGCCGTTGATAGTATTCTCCAACCCATCCATATCGATCGTTGTTTCTGTTTTGAGGAATTCGGAGATGGTGGCTCGCCCCATGAGCGTGTGAAGTTGGCGCACTGTACACACGTTTTTGGAAGAAGTTGCATCAAGGAGTGGTTGATGAAGAGTGATACCTGTCCAAATGTGTGGCTGCCCACTCTGCTCTGAGTGCTTTGTCGCAGGAGGCACGAGCATTGAGAACTCTTCAAGAGGAATAGTAAAGGTTGGGGAGGATCATTCAACGAACGTAATCTGGGCGGGGTTGATAATGATGAGTTTAGGCAGATGCGTTCGGTAGGGGGGAATTGAAACTCTGGGAAGGTAGCTTGCGATGGCTTTCACGAAAGGTTTTCTACCGAGTTAGCGCTTGCTAGAAACCTGAAGCTACCGATTTATTCACAGTGGGGTTTAGTGATGGAGAGGGAAATGACTCATAGTTAAGTATATGAGAATAAGATCGACGAAATATCTTCTTTGATATCGACATCGTTTCTGTCGTTTCTGGATCATGGAGGTGAAAATCGGTATGGATGTTGATACCAATTTTGACAGCACATTATGGCTTCACTGGGCCTATAACAGTTTCTTTGCACTACTTTCTTCTTTAGGATAATTTGCAAGCATCTTTTGAGAAAATTACTTATATGCATGTGAATTAGACACAATGACTTCTTAGAATTACAAAGCTGCTCTAAAACTACCTAGGTAGCTAGGTGTCTGTGAATTTGTGAATTATAATTGCTTTTTCACCTTGTCGAACCAATAAACAAGCTGAATACTTCATATCACAAGAAAATAGATCATGATGAATATAAAAAGTAAAACAGCTTTCCAGAAGGGAAACTCAAAGCATGAGTACATAGTAGAAAACGTTGTTGAAAAGATCAACTGATGTGAGCTTGTGTAATAAAGATTAGGATTAGCGAAGCAACAATTAGATTGGGGAATGAAAGACACTATTTTTCATCTTGATTATACAATGAATTTTGGGTATAAATAGCTTACAGTTGCTGAGAATAATGGAATTTTATTATTGAATGCACTTTATGAAGTATATAAAGAACTCATCGCTCGAACTGAATGCCTGATATCTTTCATATCTGTTCTTCATGGCCTCAGAATGAAGACTGCCAGCAACTGCCCTAGCTATGACTTCTTATTGTCCTCATAGCAGCCACTAAAGATACTGTAACTTTAGTATTACTTGAGCATATTGCGGGGAAATAGTGAGATCCAGAATATTTATGTCTACAGAGGTAGTTACCCGTTTAGTAGGATATTTACAGAAATTATTTTCTCAAAGATTCAAGTCCACTACCTAGGCAAATTTTGGCATTATTTAGATGAACCTTTTTGAGTGAAATTCTCAGACTCATAAGTGGTTGACCTGCAACTTGTAGTCTTTGAGATGCTCAATTTTTATACAAACATATAAGTCGGTTAACCGATATCCCTACTATGTGCACGGCCCTACTATATGCACGCTCTTATTATTTATATAAAATGTTTATATTAAATTGAATTAAAAATTAAAAAAGCAATGAAAATATTTGAATCTAGAATTGAGATAATTTGAATAAATTAATATAACATTTGAAATAAAAATCTGAAATTCAGAAAGTTTATAATACTAATATTAATAAATAAGATATTGAATTTTTATATAAGAAATATTTACTATTAATATATCTTATAATAGAATCGAAAATATAAGTTTTATTTAAGGAAATTATGAAATTCTTTATATTATAATATAAAGTAATAGAAAAGATTAAACTTTTTTATTGAAATTCTGATAGTTTTCGAAAAGAAAATTTATAAGAATTAATTATTAATAAAATAATGAATTTATAATATTTGATTTTATTTTGAATCATATAATGATAATAACTTTCAAAATAAATATAAATATATTAAAATCTATAATTTATTAATATTATATTTAATTAAAGATTTAAAAATGAGTATTAAAAATTTAGTTTAATATAATATTAATTATAATATAAGCTTTTTATGGATTATTATTGAAAATTTGATTTTTAATAATTTTTAGTTAAATATGTTTCATTTTAATATTAAAGAAAAAAGTTATATTAATTGATTTTTGATTTAATAAAAGATTTAAGTATTTTAATTTTTAGGATTTATTGATATCAAAATGATTTCTATTTAGATTTCCTTTTTTAAAAATTAATTTAATAATATTTTAGATTATAAAAGCTTTCTTCTTGAGATTTTTCATATTATAATAATAATTTTCATAATCAGAATTTCATTATATATCATAAAACTAAGATTTACATAATTTCAAAAATATAATTTTAAAATAAAGATTTATTTAAAGGATTTTTTTTTTGGGATACGATGACTCTCACCTGTACGTGGTATATCCTACAAAACCTTCGATCGTTGCGATCGGAGAGCTAAATAGAGTCAGCTGGAGCCGGATAGTGATTATACACTAATCGAAGGCTGTACTGAAAGCGAAGATATATATAGCTAATCATCAAAGAGTGATCGCGAAGGATACTCGGACCAAAAAATTATCAATAAAACGGAAATGAAAACCATTCAATAGTAAAAAAGAGATGAGAGCGGATTGATACGGAATCATGCCTTTACAAATCTGTATAAAAGCAAAACCAAGTATATCACAACAAAACATTTGTAAAGCAAAACTAGCCCTTGAAATAGTAGATAATGAAGCTTTTATAATATAACTGAGTCTAACTGAAACCTATATTAAAAAACAAAACTGATATTCTTAATTTAACAAACAAAAATCGATAAAACACCTTTGGAGCATTAGTGTGCAGAGTTTTTATAATCTAATAATATATACAATCTATAGATATACTGAATCAAATATGTTATAACTAATAAGGGAAGTAATAGAAAGTATTACAAAGGCTAGAATAATATCTATTAGGGCCGGCGGGGAATATATATAAAATAGGAGGAGGAATGTTTTTAGTATCTTATCTCCAAGTACACAAAAGCAGTATAGTAGTGGAGGAGTTTCGATATAGAAAGGATACTTTTAGTAAATCATATTCGACAATACTCGATTGGTATTATAGCAATAAAGGATTTCAGGTAGAAACCAATTCTACAATATACATATATAATATATTCCTAGTGCTCTATTTTCAATTATAAACTATACATTAGGAAAATAGATTTTATAAGTAAAGCTTTAATTAGTAGATTGGAAATATTATAAAAGGACTATCTAACTAGAAATCTGAAATAACAAGTCTGTAAAACATAGTTGGTCTTATTATATAGGAAAGATTTAATAAGGTAATGCGAAATGGTTACTAGCTGTGAGGTATAGCATATAATAATAGTGATAATGATACTATTTATATAGCTTGAGAGGATGGATATGTATATTGATTTATAATCGGATATTATAGGGCAGAGGGCATAATAAAGATATTAGATAGGCTTAAGGAATAAATAGGAATGGAGGTATAAAAAAATGATTTTAATTCTGATTAGAATTTCTGAAGGTAATTATATAATAGGTGGTTTAATATAGTTAGAAGATTCTATAGAAGTTTAGTACTAATAGCTTTATCATAAGTAAGCTGGGAAAGCATCTGTAGATATAGCGAACCTACTTTGTATTATAATATATTCTAAAAAGTAGTTATAATATAATTCATTTCTGTCCCCGTGGTGGACCGACGAGTATAAGGAGGCACATCGAACATACACACAAGCCAGGAGAACTAGAACTGCTGACGGAATGGCAACTGCCTAGTAGGACCTACAGAGAGTTATACGAGTATTGAAACGAGTCTATTGGATTAAATATTTAAATAATATACAAAACGATCAGGAATTATACAAAGTTATGAATTAATATAAGCTAACCCTAGAAGTAGATTTCAAAGCCTCTCTTCTAATGATTGAAGGCTAGAAGATTATTGATATTAGGGAAAAAGCTGAAGTACTTTTTATAACGATATTCGATTGCTTTAAAGTATTGGATGATTTATAGTATAATTCTTTATAGGAATAGGGCTGTTAGATGATTTTATTATAGAAAAGAACGATTATTATTGTCAGAAATAGACAGCAAGTTACGCATAAGGAGTAATATATTGAAATATGTATATCCAATCTATATATCCGGGAAGTCCAAAAAAGGAATTTTATAGTGGTATGCACATACCACACACGTGCTACACATGTGATTTCCAACATTCTCCTTATAGTAGGAATCTATTATCTAAATCATATAAACTCTTTATATATATATATTTGTGAAGAGCCTTATTAACTCCTGCGACAGTGTCAATGTTCCAGAGTTGTCTGTGGTGTCTACATCTCCAGTAGAGTTCGACAGCTTTACGATTTAATATCGTATCGCAGTACAAGAGTACTCTTTATCTGAATCCTGTTTTCCCTGTTTATATCAGGTTGGATCCAATCCATCTAGTAATTCGAATATCAATCTGCTTTCGTAAAATCCTCTTTGTATATATACTAACGAATTACTTCGAATTTATTATCTTCAGATTGTAGGGTCATCTTTTTAGTATAGTAAACAATCTAAATCCAATCTCATGTAAACAAACCTCCAGCTTATCTGTTACCCTATATGGTTTTCTTAAAATGATCAATTTGGTTAATTTGGTCAATTCATAATAAATTGACCAATTCGACCAATTTGGACAATTTTTGATAAATTCGATAGATCTGGTGAATATAGTGAATCTGATGAACCTGATGAAATTGTTGAAATAGGTGTATTTGATGATTTTTATCAATTTGATCAATTTGGTCAATTTAATCAATTTGGTCAATTGGTCAATTTAATCAATTTGAGTTAAATCAACCAAATCAATCAAGATGACTGATTTGATCAAATACAACTATTGACTCTCTTTGACGCATTCGTATTCAGCATTCCAGATCCAATTCTAGACCTTTTCTATAAATTATAAAGCCAGAGTATGTGAGCTGTTTTATAAGGATATCGGCTATCTATTCAGTTCCTGGAATCTATACGATATATAGTCTTTTAGTATCAACCATATCTTTTCAAATATATGCCATCAAATATCAATATGCTTTGCTTTACTATAAAACTTATTCTCTTACATCCAATCAACTCCACTAGCATTATCGCAATATAAAGTTAGGATAAAGGGCTT